AGGACTGTCCCACATCTTAGCAAAGTTTGCCATTCTTTTTCTTTTGTCTTCTGCTTGTCTACTTTGTATAGTATATTGTCAGCAGTTGAGACACGGGCAGTTTCTTGCTCAAATGGCTAGCCTTGACACAATGAAAGCAAACTCGCACATGGAGGTTTTTAATGCTCATCATCCTTTTATGAAGTAGATTGATACTGCCAGGAGCAGGCATGTCTCATTGTCATAAAAATCCTTAGGTTATTAAACACCTATATTCTATAGGTCTCTGAAGCATTTGAAGATAACCTATCTAAAAATATGTTTAACCCAGAAAACATACCTAACATGACTATAATTTTAGTTGTTATAGATGATTAGTCACTAACCTGCATTTTTAAACAGTTTGTAATAACAGCTTTCAAAGATTAGAAATTTATATCGCATTTTCAAATGAGATACATAGGTATAATACCTTAAACAAGAGTAGAAACAAATACACAGTATAACAAAAAATCTGAAATTTGTATCAATATACAAAAATCCATACCAGTGTAAAATATTTGAGATGAATAGTTGTCTTTTTATCTTATATAGTCTATATCTCCACTAAATGCTGACAAACATCCATAACCCTGTGAATGACCAAAAACTACCCACCCCATCTTTTGGGTGTTGACTTCTCTAGAATGCTTACTATTGTCTGGGAGCTAATCACATTCCTAGGGATCTTGAAATAATTGAAACAATGTTCAAGTAATAACAAAACTAGCTATAACATTTGTTGTACAGTCTTTGTGTAATGGGAATGCACAAGGCTTGTCAGGGTCCTGTCTAGAAAAATCTGTGAGGCTAGACCATCTCAGCTAGCAGCCTTGAAGTTGTTCTGAATGCAGAACTCTGAAGAAATAGCAAGAAAGACAGGATAATCTGGTCTAGCCATTTTCATTGATATCTAATCCTCTTACTCTAAAAGCACAAAACTTTCAAAGGTAACATACATATCTGCATTAACAGGTATATGAACTGTGCGTTATACACAAATCAGCCAAAGATGATATTTTTTTGCTTTATGTTTGAGCAAGTCAAAGGCATCTGTCAACTTTATAAGTTTGTTAGGACTATATAACCAAACCTCTATCTATTGTCATATGAAAGGATGGCTGTAATAATAGGTCATGAGGACTCTGTAGCCAACAAGATCAATCATGTCTCATCTAGTCTCAGAGCTGTTCCCATGGCAGGGGACCAGCATATATGTCACCTGTCTTGTAGTTTTTGTAGATTTATTCCTTTATGTCTATCGCCAAGATTTTCAGGAGGTCTCCCCAGATCAAATCTGATCTCTATTAATTTGGAAGGAATCCACAGCCTTTCATTTCCTATGGAAACAAAAGCATAATTTCTCCCTCAATGAAATATATTTTCTGAATTCCATTTTAAAGTTAAGACATACCTACAGTATCTAGGCTGGTTTAATTCAGAAATTCCTTTAACAGTTTCATGTCTCTCAGCAGCTGTCATTCATTCATCAGCATTCAAAAATTCAAAGTCAACAAAGCATCATACAGGATCCAGATTCCCCATGAACTTCTCATCTTTATGTAGCTTATTCTTTTTATATTACTCTACCCCACACACTGAAACCTGTTTAAAGTTTTTTTTTTTTTTTTTTTTTTTTTTTTTTTTGCTTTTGTTTTTTGGTCTGGACCTGTTTTACTGCCTACATGTAGCATTCTCTGACCACATAAGCCAAGCCTTAAACAGGTAAGCATCAGCTAGGCCCTCCACTAGGTCCTAGGCCTTCTGGTGGCGGGCCCACCTCTCTCCTTGGGTTCATGAGAGATGAGCCTTAATTCTGGGGCCCTGGCTGAGAGTTGCATTTAACTGGGAACTGCATTTAACCAATAGTTGCATTCAACCACCCCAGCTCTAGGAAGTTAGTGCCCACCCTCTGGCAGGCATTTTTATTAGCTTGCTGTTTCTACTTAGCATGCTGGCTGCTCAAGTGTTCTGCAGCACAATAGTGTCTTTTAAGGATTCCATATCTGGTTTTCCTGTTTGTTTTCTCTCTTTCTCTTTTCAGATTTCTCAGGCCCTATGTGGAAATTCAGGCCTCATGTTGGGCACCATTTGTAGTTGGCATTTTCTTTGGGCCATCAACCAGCTCACAAATAAAGACATGGAGACTTATTATCAATTGTGAATGCTCTGCCTTAGCCTGGGCTTGTCCCATGAACTCTTTTAACTTAGTTTAATCTGTTTCTATTTATCTATATTTTGCCTCAGGGCTTTTTACCTTTCCTTCATTCTGTATATCCTACTTTCCTGCTTCCTCCATGTCTGTCTGTCTGGCCCCTGACATCTCACTGTAGTCTCCTTTTTTCTTTCTTCCCCTGAGCCCAAATTCCTTGTCCTACTTACTCTCCCTGCTCAAAAGTTCTGCCTATACTTCCCCCCTCACTTTTGACCATGCAGCTTTTTATTAGCTCAATCAGGCAGGCCAAGTAAAACAGCAACATATTTTTTATATAATTATACAAATGCAACACATCTTTACAAAGTTAAACAAATGCAGCACATCTTTGCATAGTTAAACAAATATTCTTCAACAGTTAGGAGCCATTATTATGGGAGTAGTGATTTACGGAAGAGAAATGCTGTGTTGCTTTTCCTTGTTATTTCTGTTTTTGTTATGGGACTTTTTATTTTTAAAGTTATGTCTCCTTTTAAAGGCAGCGGGGGTGTTTGCATGTTCAGTGGAAGACTAAGTACCCCTAGGGTTGAGATACTCCTTTCCTCTGTTTTTCAGGACTGGAAGAACTAGCTCTAGTGTTCCTTTGAGGGCCCAGTGAGGCCCTCCCAACTGGGCTGATATCTTTTGCTGTGAGTTAAGGCTGTCTTCTTTGTAGTTCTTACCCAGAGTCATATCTGGCTCACCCTAGTTCCTTGACTACTGCTGCGATGTGGAACTTTCTACACATCTGTCACATCTGTAGTTCTTCCTTCCTTCCTTCCTTTCTTCCTTCTTTCCTCTCTCTCTCTCTCTCTCTCTCTCTCTCTCTCTCTCTCTCTCATTGAGACAGAGTTTCTTTGTGAAGCCTTGGCTGTCCTGGAACTAGCTTTGTAAACCAGGCTGGCCTCAAGCTCACAAAAATGTCTAGTTCTGCCTCCTGAGTGCTGGGACACACCTGTAGTCTTAACCTGGAGTTAAAAACAGGCCTTTCCATGGGCTCTCAGCTTTCTCTGAAGTTGGTCAAAGACTTGGAACTCTGCAAGCAACAGTCCTTTCATATACATTTAGAAATCTGTAACTGGCCTCCACTGAATGGCCTGTTCTACCTTGTCTTCCATCCCCGATGCTTCATTTCCTCCCCCATCCATTCTGTTGATGAAGCTTTCCACTGAGGCGCCTTTCCCCCTCCCAAAATTGTTATTTACTTAAATGAATTCTTCCCTCACCCTGACCCCAGCCTCCCCTCCCCATCTCCTCCCAGTCTGCCCTCCACCACTGCTCATCCATTTCCCTTTAGAAAAGAGGAGGCGTCCCTGTCACATCCACTGATCATGTCCTAACAGGATTCAGTAAGACCAGGCATAAAGTCCCCACATCAAGGCTGGATGAGCCAACCCAGCAGGAGAAAAAGGCAGGCAGAACAGTCAGAGGCACCCATTGTTAGTGCAACTGAAAATGTAAGCTAAGCAGCCTGTTTTGGCGGCACATGATAGTAGGATTTGCTGAAGGAAGCAGAGGCAGGAGGATCATGAGTTTGATGCCAGCCTGGGCTCCACTGAGGTTTCTATCTGAATTACCAATTTTTTCATTTTCAGCATCGTTTTAATTTGGTTTTTCTTTAGTAATTCTACCTTTTCATAGAGTTCTGTTTTTGTATCTTGCATCGACTTCCTTATTTATTTTTCTCTTTGTTTTTGATCTCTTGGAGCATATTCACATATTATTTGAAGGCTAAATATAGTTATAATCATGTTGAATTATTTGGGATTTTTTTCTTGTAATTTTTCTTGTGGGCCATTATTATGGGGTTAGTCGTTTTTGGAAGCATGATGTTTCTTGGTTTATCCTGTTGTTTCTGTGGGGGACTGAAACAGCTGGAGAAATTTGTTGGTTGAGTGTTTTCTTTTTTTGCTTACGTTGCCTTTTTCTTTTAACTTAGAGACACTTAGCTAGAGGACGAAGTCTTTATGGTTGAGACATAATTGTCCTCTGCAGATTGGTGAAGTGAGTGTCTGCACTGCCTGAATGGGCCTGAGTGGGAAGCTGGGGTCCTCTACTGCTTCTAAGAGGCTATGTGGTCTTAGCTCCTAGAGCAAAATCATACCCTTTCCTCTTTTAAAAACACTCTAAAATTGCTATAGTATTGGATTAGCAGAGAAGGAATACTTGGTTAAAAATTACTCTTAAGAGGTGATTACAGGCTTGATACAGTGAGATGAATTCATACAGACAAAGAAGTAAACTTTCTGTCAGATTCATTCATATAATTTAAATCTTCACAATACATCAATCAACATCATGGCACTGATGTTCCCATTATATGTATGAGAAACTGAGTCAGATTCATCTTTAATGAGTGGTTAGATGCCATCAGGTGCCTGGGATAGGAATGGATGTAATTTTGATGTTATAATTATTACATAAATTTTCCCAGAGATCCTTAATTTTGGAAAAAAATTTTATGAATAAGTGCTTCCTACATTCAAAAAGGAACCCAGAAAAGCACTATATAGGTGTCCCTTATGTCTCAATTCAGTGAACTCCATGTATATTTGCATGCAAGTCTAGGCAGGGAGGCCAACGTGACTGTGATTCTGTATTCCAGAAGTACAAATGTACTCTATGGGTGAATTGTTTCCCAGTGAAGGTGCCAAACACCATAGGATTATATTTACTGCTATAACAGAATGCATTGTAACCATTAGACTAATAATAAAACTATCCAAGGAAAACGTGCAAACAATGACCACATGAAAATTGATTTTACTTTCAATATCTTCTTGAGCAGGTGGCTGTCAGAATCAGCTCGGTGGCTGATTATGACCAACAAACCTCAAAAGAGCTTAAAGGAGCTTAGAAAAGTTGCACACATAAATGGAATGAAGAGTTCTGGAGACACCCTAACCATGGAGGTGAGTATCATGGGAGTTTGTTATGACACAGGGGAAACACAAGCCTGACACACACACACACACACACACACACACACACACACACACACACACGTGTCTAGGTGTCAAGATGCAATATGCCATTTTTTATTATATTGCATACATATATTTTTTTCAAAATGGACTTTTGCTTATTGGATTTAATTTGTAAAAACTTATTCACAGGATTTCATTCATTTTTAAAACATTTAAAGCATGTACTAGTTATATATAATGATGAGTGTTATAGCATTTTCATATATATATATATAACATACTTTTATCACATTTATCAGTCATTGATCTTATTCATCTCTCATCCCTACTTGTCTCCTTCCTCTCCTTAAATAATCCTTTTGTACTTTCATGCCTTCTATTGTGTATAAACCAAAGAGTTGAATTAGGGTTAGCTATGGAAACATGGATGAGATGTTATTTACAGGTCAGTGGGCAACTTATAGTGGTTATTCCATTGAAGAAAATGTCTTTCTTCTCCCAGAAATCATTAATTGACTATCAGTCTTGAAGACCAGTAGCTCTTTATGGCTCCTTTCATCTAGCAATGATCAATAAATCCTGAAGAAGGGAAATGGCGTTACAAGTTTCTCTACTTTCTATGATGGAAGGTTGACTAGACTATCTGGGCAGGTCTTGTGCAGGTAACAACAACAGCTAAGAATTTAAATGTTAATGGCCATAAAATGCCTTGAGAAGAGAATTCTATGTACTCCACCCCTCCCTCTGGCTCTTACATCCCTCATGTTTTCCCTTGAGCCTTGGAAGGGGTGATAGAGATGTCCAGTCAAGGATGAGTGCTCAAAAATCACTTATTTTCAGCACTTTGACCAGTTTCAAGTTTGCAGTAACTGCATGCACTATAAAAAGAAGTTTCTCTTACCATAGCCAACAGCAGCATTGTTATATGGACACAAATAAAGATATTTAGATGATAATTTACTGGCACATCATATCCAAAGAAAACAACTCCCAAAACAGCAACAGTAGCTTCCTGTCTTGGTAATTCTCCTATTAGCATGACAAATCACTATGATCATGCAACTTATAAAAAAAAGGCATTTCCTTCTCTTCTTTCTCCTAACTCCCTCTCCACTCACTGCCTCCCCCCACCCCCACTCCCAATATGCTCAGGAGATCTTGTCCCTTTCTACTTCTGTGAGGGACCTTGCATGAATATCTTAGGTTCCTTCTTGTATCCTAGCTTCTCTGGCAGTGTGAATTATAGGCTGATGATCCTTTACTCTATGTCTAAAATCCACATATGAGCGAGAACATACCATGTTCCTCTTTTTGTGACTGGGTTACCTCACTCAGGACGGTTTCTTCAAGTTCTATTCATTTGCCTTAGAATTTCAAGATTCCATTGTTATTTTCTGCTGAGTAGTACACCATTGTGTAAATGTGCCACACCTTCTTTATCCATTCTTTAGTTGAGGGGCATCTAGGTTGCTTCCAGGTCCTAGCTCTTACAAATAATGCTGCTATGAACATAGTTGAACAGATGTCTTTGTTGCATGGGAGGGGAGAAGAAAACATAAGGGACCAGGAAGATTGGGTTGGGGGACGAACAGACAAGAGCAAGAAAAGAGATACCATAATAGAGGGAACTATTATAGGTTTGAAGAGAAAACTGACTCTAGAGAAATGTCTGAAGACTTACAAGGATGACCCCAACTAACAATCTGAGCAACAGTGGAGAGGCTGCCTTAAATGTCCATCTCTGATGATGAGATTGATAACTACCTTAATATGCCACCCTAGAGCCTTCATGTAGTAGCTGATAGAAACAGAAGCAGACACCCACAACTAAACACTGAGCTGAACTCCTGGAATCCAGTTGCAGAGAGGGAGGAGTAATGAGCAAAGGGGTCAAGACCAGGCTACAGAAACCGGCAGAGATAGCTGACCTGAACAGGGGGAGCTAATGGACCCCAGACTGATAGCTGGGAAACCAGCATAGGACCATCCAGACCCCCTGAACATGGGTCTCAGTTAGAAGGCCTGGGAAGTCTAAGGGACTTCTGACAGTGGAACCAGGATGTATCCCTGGTGCACAAAAGGACTTTGGGAGCACATTCCCCATGGTGGGAAACACCCTTAACCTAGAGGCAGGAGGGAGGGCCTAGGCCCAACCCCAAATGAATTGACAGATTTTGATGATCCCTCCTGGAAGGCCTCACATGGATGGGGAATGGGATGGGGGGCCGGGGGGAATGGGAGGATGGGAGGGAGAGGGGACTGGGATTGATATGTAAAATAAGAAAAAAAAATAAAAAAAGAAAGTGTTTAATTTTGGGACTCACAGTTTTAGAGGGTCAGAGTCTATGGTGGAGAGCATGGCAGCAAGCAGAAAAGCATGGTACTAGAGTAGGGTTGAGAGAGAGAGAGAGAGGGAGAGAGAGGAGGGAGAGCAAGCTAACTAACAGGGAGTGGCGTAGCTTTTGAAACCTCAAGGCCCACCCTCAGTGACACATCTCACCCAACAAGACCACCCCTCCTAATCTTTCTTAAACAGTTCCACCAAGTGGGAACAAAACATTTAAATACATGAGCCTAAGGGGGCCATTCTCATTTAGACCACCATATTTTCCAACTAAGGTCTATAATTTGCCCAGCTATGTGTTTTCACCCAGGTTTGAGGTACTAGATAGGAGTTTGGTACAGGCCTCAACTCCAATCAAAAAGTGACTTGTTCAGTCCATGGCAGTGATGCCAACATTTCACAAGCAGACATATCTTCCCTGGCATGTTATAGTGGGGCACAGATGTCTTCATATTCTTAGGGCCATTTGATTTGAAAATCTTTTCCCGATCCTTAACTCTGAGGTAACATCTGTCTTTGAAGTTGAGATGTGTTTCTTGTATGCAGCAGAAGGATGGATTCTGTTTTCATATCCATCCTGCTAGCCTGTGTCTTTTTATAGGTGAGTTAAGACCATTGATATTGAGGGAGAGTAAGGACCATTGATTGTTGATTCTTGTTTGTTTTGGATTTGTTTTTGGTGGTGGTATTTTGTGTAAAATTTTCCAGTGTTTCTGGCTTTTGGTAAAGTGGGATTATTTATTACCTATGTTTTTTGCGAGTGTAGTTAAATTTCTTGGGTTGGAGTTTTCTTTCCAGCACTTTATGTAGGGCTGGATTTGTGTATATGTATTGTGAAAATCTGGCTCTGTCATGGAGTATCTTGTTTTTTCCATCTATAATGATTGAGAGTTTTTGCTGGGTATAGTAGTCTATCCAAGACCTTCTGGTTTTCAGAGTTTCCATGGAGAAGTCAGGTGTAATTCTGTTAGGTCTGGCTTTATATGTTACTTGGCCTTTTTCCTTTGCTGCTCTTAATATTCTTTCTTTATTCTGTATGTTACATGTACATGTTTTAATTATTATGTGTTGAGGGAACTTTTTTTTGGTTCAGTCTATTTGGTGTTCTGTAAGCTTCTTATACTTTCATAAGCATGTCTTTCTTTAGGTTGGGAAAGTTTTCTTCTATGATTTTGTTGAATATGTTTTCTGCACCTTTGAGCTGGGCTTTTTCACCTTCTTTTATGCCTCTTATTTTTAAGTTTGGTCTTTTCACGGTGTCTCACATTTCCTGGATATTTTGTGTTAAGGATTTGTTGTATTTAAGATTTTCTTTGATCAATGAATCTATTTCCTCTAGTTTATCTTCAGTGACTGAGATTCTCTCTTCCATCTCTTATATTCTGTTGGTTATGCTTGCATCTGTAGTTCCTGATCGTTTACCCAGGTTTTCTATTTCCAGCATTCCCTCAGTTTGTGTTTTCTTTATTGTCTCTATTTCAATTTTCATGTCTTTAACTGTTTGAATTGTTTCCTTCATCTGTTTGATTGTTTTTTTTCTTGGCTTTTCTTGTTTTCTTTAAGAGATATGTTGTTTTCTTGCATTTTTTTGTTTGAGTTTTCTTCTATTTCTATAAAGGATTTTCTCATATCCTCTTTGAGGGCCTCTATCATTTTCATGAAGCTGTTTTTAAGGTCATTCTCTTCTGCTCCATCTGCGTTGGGATGCTTAGGTCTTGCTGGCATACAATTCCTAGTCTCTGTGTTATATAAGTATTTCTGTTGTTGGATGTGTTCTTATACTGTCTTCTTCCCATCTCTCCTTCCAGTGGGTACAGGTGGGGTTTCTCCCTCTCTTTGTGGGTAGAGGTTGAAGGCTCTTGCCTATCCTCTCTTCTGGAGGGGACACTGCTTTTTGATATTTATATTTTTCACTAGACAGAAACAGTAACTATAGATCTAGTTCCTTGCAGGTGTCCAGTATACCCACAATGCCCATCATTTTGTGACGTTTAACAGTTCATTAATGTTGTTGTTGAAGGTTGTGATAACCACCATGAAGGAGGAGCTGGAGGCCTCACAGACAAAATCTTTGCTGTGGGACCTGTTCCGTACACCCAACCTGCGCAGGCGGATGTGTCTCCTGTCCCTAGTCAGGTAAGCTTCACGTAGAGCCTATTAAATTAAGGTGGTTTGAAGATAAAATTTCTCAGTGATATATTTGGAGATAAAAGGCAAGGAATTTCTGGAGCGGGAGGTAGTCAAAGAGTTTAGAATATAGGAACACATAATTATACAGTGAGGAGTGTGCTCATCACCACCTACTGGATTTAGCAGTAGAGACTGATGCCAAGAACCTCTGTCATAGTACAAACTTGGTCCCTGAGTATATCTATTTGTTTGTTTCAGTTTCAATTTCAAAGAAATTAAGGTGCACAAATGTAAATGAATACATATAGTTGTATAACCCTCACCACATCAAGATACAGTGAAAATTTTAAAACTCTGGAAGAAATCATCATGTATCCCACAAACTCTACTATACCTTAAAAAATTCAGTAGCAATGATATTCCCTATCATCACACAATGATTTAATTATGACTATGAAATTATCATTTACATTAAATATTCCAGAGAGCGAATTATAAGCATGCACAGATAAATTAACAAACACAGCCATTCTCCTCAGAGAGAAAGAACAGTTTAATAAAAAAATTCTGTTCAGCTGCCTTGAACAGTGGAGGATAGCAGCAGCTGCAAAAGCTTGTTGGTTTCCCATGGGTTGATGGCAAGAGGAGGCTGCTCAAGTGGTTAGCCAGGGGGAATCAGGTGGTTAGCCAGGGGATTCTGTCAGACAGGTCAGGGGTGGAGAGTTGTGGCCAGCAATGTTCATATAGCCATTAAGGGCTTCTGAGAAATACTTTAGGTTTCTGTTTCCTAGCAAACCCCAGTCTTTTGTTGATGATAAGCGATGGTTGTCCTCTGACTACTTCCACCTGAGTGGGGACATTAGTAAAGGGAGTCTGGAATGAAACCAGCAGGCAATGGATAGGAGAATTTTGTAAGAAGTATTTGGTTCACTGAGCAATGGGCCAGTTCACTAATTCTTTCCTGAAAGAATCTGAAGAGACAGATGGCAATTGTTCCTATGACTAGGATAGAGGTCAGAGGGCTGAGGAGAGGCATGAGGCAAGAGTCCAAAGGAGACTGTGTGAAAGTTCTGCATTGGTGTCTGCTCCCAGAGGCGCAGTTCTGTGTACCAGCTCACATAGGTTCTTAGTGCTCTCATTTACACAGTAACAGAATTTTCTATTGAAGAGGAGACAAATGCCTCTTTTCTCAGAAGTCAGTAAGCTGAGGGCCTTGTGGATTTGCAGGATCACTGAAGCTAGAGAGGCGAGCTGGTTATGGAGCATAGTAGAGCCAAGGTTGATTTCCAGATAGAATTTGCCAGCGAGGCAGAGATCTGCTGGGATAGATAGAGACTATGGATGGAAGGTAACATTAAGGAGCTTAGGGGGATTTTGGACATATATTTGAAACCTTCAGTCCTTTTGCTCAGTCCTGGTAGTTGGGAGGGTGGAAAGGAGCCCCAAGGCCAGGGGGCGGGGAAGGACAGACTCCCACTGGCAGGTGGTAGGCAGGAGAGCTTAAGCTGTTCACTGACTGGAGTGCTTATCAGATGAGGGGCGTGAAGCAGGTTTGAACTGTGGCACTGTGGCAGATGAAGCCAAGTCATGACTCCCTGAAGCTCCATGGATGTGTAAGAAGAGTTGTCTGTCTCACTGCCTGTTTTCATCCGTATTGGAATCCTCACTGCAGGGACAGCAGTTAACAAATGTCTGCACAAAGCTCAAGCAGGTTCATTCCTGGAGTCATAGCAAAAACAAAGACTGAGAAGTTGTCAGCATAAACATGAACATTCATCTGTAAGAAGACAGAGCCTTCTGGGCAGGAAAGAGAGCAAAGGGAAGGGAGAGCTTGAGGGCTTGGAGGATGGGTCTGTGACAGAAGCATGGACGTTCTTTCCTCTGACCTGCTGTCCTCACGTCACCACCAGAGGGGGACTGGGTAGATATAAGCTGGACAGAGATATAAGCTGCAGCACAGGGAGAAGTACTTTTTTTTAAATTAAAATTTTCATTTATTTTACATCTTGATCACAGCTTGTCCTCCTCAGTCCTCCCATTCCCTCCACCAACTTCCCCTCTGCCTCTCTGCCCCAATCCATGCCTCTCCCACCTCTGTTCAGAAAGGGGAAGGTCTCCCATGGGTGCCAACAAAGCATAGCACATCAAGTTGAAATAGGAGTAAGTTCCTCTCCTTGTATTAAGGCTAGGTAAGGCAACCCAGCATTAGGGACAGGTTCCTAAAACTCACCAAAGCATTAGGAACTGGCCCTGATCTCACTGCCAGGGGTCCCACAAGTAAACCAAGCTGTCACACATATGCAGGGGGTCTAGCCATTGGTCCATATTCTGTGAGCTCCTATGAGCAGGCCGGTTGCTTTTGTGGGTTCCCTTGTAATGACCCTGACCCCCCCTGTCTCATACAGTCCTTCCTCTCTCTCAATAGGATTGGCTAGGTTCAGCCTAGTGCTTGGCTTTACATCTTTTCCATAAGTTACTGGACAAAGTCTCTCCAGTGACAATTGGGTAGTTACCAGTCTGATAACAGGAGATGGCCAGTTGAGGCTACCTACCCATGATGGCTAGGAGTGTTAGCTGGGGTCATCCTTGTAGATTTGTGTGAGTTTCCCTTGCATCAGGGTTCTACCTGACTCCAAAATGCACTCTTCTCAAGTAATCTCTTTCATTATTCTTTGCCTCCATCCCTCAATCCTATCTTTTTAAACTCCATGTTTAGAAAAGAAAACATTCAAAGGAAGTTTAAAAATTTTGAGCCTGTGACTATGATAATTTTAATTGTTTTTTTAAAAATCTTAATAACCAGTTCATGTAACTGTTACCAAGGCTAGATTAATATATATCAGAACTCAATCGATTAATGTGTTAAACTTTGGATTTCAAAGTTTAATGGCATATGTATAATTTTAAGTCTCATTTCCACATATCTTAAACCATTCTTTTAGATTTTTATAACTTCCATAAATATTTAGTCATTTGCCATGAAACTTAGATGCTTGATCATTGAGAGTAGTCATTGAAAAGGCAAGTGTTTTTAAATCATTATTGGAGCATAAAGGAAGAGTAAAAAGAAAATTTTCAATCAGTAACAACAGGCTGGTAGTTTGGTGCCATTGAAACCTGTTTGTGAGTTTCCCCCTTTACAGTAGGAAGCCTGCTAGCTCTAGGGAAAAACAAGGACAAGGCCTGACTTTTTTTTTTTAAATTTATTTTTTTCTTACTTTACATATCGATCCCAGTTCCCATTCCCTCCCTCCTTCCCTCCCTCCCTCCCTCCCTCCCTCCTTCCCATCCCCCCTATCACCCTCCCACCCTCCTGGAGGGTGATACCTTCCAGGAGGGGGTCAACAAAATCTGTCAAGTCATTTGGAGTAGCAAGATATCGTGGTTTAATAAAGTTCAGGATAAACAATTAGGCCGAACAGATGTTTATTCAGGGAGAAATAACTCACAACATAGACAGGTGAACACCAGCAGGTTTCTGCTTCCAAGAATTCCTCTGGAAGTCCTCCTGTCCCCACCCTCAATGGGTGTGGTCAGTGCCACAGAAGGAGACAAAGTGAATATTCCACTACAATTCCCCTTTTAGTCTAAAGAAAAGATTTAGGCTTTATACAAAACTATACAAAACAAGGGTGCTCTAAGAAAAGGAAAATCGAGAACAAAACGACCTACATATCTAGTCCTAGGGTGAAGGCATAACGGAATCTACAATAGAGTTGTCTTAAGCTGGAAAACTTAAATCTAGTACCTAATATATCTAACTAGAAAGAGAGAATAATAGTTGTGATAGTTTAATCTCCAACCTCATCAAGACCTGAGAAGGAAAATAACGATACTAGGGTAGACAGGAAGTATGGATGGGCAACTTCCAAAAGGTGCAGAGAGGACAGAAACAGCAGGCTACCTGGATAGTCACCCAAGGTTTCCCAGCAACGTTGGTACACCCAGTTTTGGCTAAGGCCATGAGTACTTGACAGACCACAACAACAGCAGGGAGGTAGAAAGGCTGTCTTACCCTGACTTGGCAAGGTTCAGCAGTCTTCTATATTTGTCTCCTGCAAGCACATAGGACCGCATGTCCAAATCAGTGGTCCAGGTGAGGGCAGTTCTTTGCCCAAGAGGCCATTAGCCGAAGCGAGGATGAACTCCAGAAGGAGCAACAACAGTGTCCAACATATTTTCAGGAAAGTGCACGGTGCTGTCAGGAGCAATAGTGTCTCATGTCAATGGAGTACTAATATTAAAACATGTAAATGCCATGTTCTGCATGCCTATGAAGTGATTGAAGATTAGCATCTATGTCTGACTAATCTCATAATTAAAGGAAACATGGGTGAAGATAATCTGTAATACTCAGGAACTTAGCTAAAAAAACTGATTAAAACTTCCTTGAGTAAAGCAGGGATAAATACCTAAACAATATAACTATGTACACACACACACACACACACATATGTAAATTATATATATGTAAATCCCTAAAATAGAGGTAAAATAGAAATGTCTAGACAAGAGGTAGAACTATAAAGAGCAGCAAGATAAATATCCCCAAATTGTATCAATATACAAAATGTTTTGAATACAAGAAAAGTATACATGCATAGAATATGGCAAGAATAAATGTGCATAAATTGTATCAATATACAAAATGTCTTGAACATAAGTAAAAGTATACATACATAGAATATGGTAAAAATAATGATAATGTGCATAAAACATCATAAGTGGAAAGATTTCACACAATATAACAAAATATAATATACAATTCTTCTGGGAAGGGAATATAAACTTAATTTTACATAGCTTACCACAAATAAGAATATATAACAATGTAAGCTCTACAATACTATTATCTCACTCTTACTCAATAATTCACAAGAAGACAGGCTAATCTACCTATATCCCATCTAAACCATATCTTTCCCAACCATACCCTATTCCTATCTAAAAGATAAACCTGAGTCTAAACATCATCTTCCATACCCAACCCTAAGTAACTAAAACCAACCCAAAGAAGATGAATATTATCTCCAAATTCCAAGAGTAGGGAAAGGGGGTGTCGTTATCTTAAGGTTACTTCCTGCTGAAATGGGAGGATGATTGCTCCATGGGATCCTATGGGAAGAAAATTTTTAGCAACCAAATTTCTCAACAGAACTGGCTGTGACACATGTAGCTAGTCACTGTGTGGCAGAAAATGCTTGACTGTAGTTCTATTTGAAACTCTGGCCAGAGAGTAATAAGAAGGTGCACCATTACAGCTAGCTAGTCATTAGTTGTTTCAAGCAAGACAGTCTCAAACTGGTTTTAGGGTGATGTTTGTAGTCCATATGGATCAGGTTAAGTAAGTGGAAATGACGACATGGGGCCTCATCTTCTTTCCAGAGAGTTCAAAGATTGCTGTTAGGAATTGTTAGTATTCCTTGTGGAAAATTTAAACTTCAATATTACAGTAACATTTTTAAGTTTTTAAGGTATGCATTAGGGAAATGCAACAATAAGCATTCAAATGTATATGAGAAAATTAAGATTTCAGAGAGAAAATTGCGTATTAGCGAATGAATCCACAGATTTTGTTTTCTTCTGCCTTACACCAATTGGCTTCTTGATTTAAGGCAGAAACCATGAATTTAATCTTAACAACATGCTTGAATTTAGAGAAGGAAAGCCAAATCCATCTCCAAAGCCAGAGTTGGTTTATATGAATTGGGACTACAAGAATATTAGATAGTAAAGAGAAATAGATTTCTGTATAGAAATAGTTTACTAGAATTAAATATTTTTTATCATAAATCAGATTCCTCTTCATTAAGTGATTGTTTCTGGAGAGCTGTCTTCTCTCTGTAGGTAACTACATGTTCAGTGTCTTTTGGCTGTTTGAAGATAGGTTTTCTCTGTTTTCCTGTAAGAACAAGAACATAACACTTCCCCTACCTTTGAGAGGTCTCTGCACATCTCATGGGACCTAATTTGTTGGATGACTTGTCATTTCTCTTCATTAATATGTTTCTCTTGTTCAACTCAGATCTTGATTAACTTAGATGGTATCTATAGTTTTTCTTTTCCTGTAGATACAAATGCGAAACCCCTACCCCAACGTAACACATATCCTGGTTTCCATTCTGAGGTCAATACATCTTTGAAGTACACTGGCTGATTTAGTTTAGAAGTTTTTTCTATTGTCCAGTGTCTTTCTGCAGCTGTTTTTCCTTTTTCATCAGCATTAAGAAAGTTTAATGTTAATAGAGCATTATGTAATCTGTGTTTGAGTGTCTTGGTTCCTCCTGCCTGTTTATGGAGCATTTCTTTTAACGTACAATTGGATCTCTTAACTACTGCTTGTCCTGTAGGATTGTGTGGTACACCCGTTATGTGCTTTATGTTATAATACTCAAAAAACTGTTTCAATTTGCTGGAGACATCTGCTGGAGCATTGTCAGTTTTTATTTGTTCAGGTATGCCCATAATGGCCATTATCTCTAATAGGTGTGTGATAACAGAATCAGCCTTTTCAGAGCTCAGAGCAGTAGCCCATTAAAACCCTGAAAATGTATCTATAGTATGATGCACGTATTTTAATTTTCCAAATTCTGCAAAGTGAAACACATCCATTTGCCATATTTCACTTCTATTTATACCTTTAGAGTTACTGCCTTTTAGTAAAGGAGTTTGGTTATAGAATGAGCAAGTAGGACATTTCCTTACTATTTCCTTAGCTTGTTGCCAAGTGATAGAAGAGGCCTGACTTTTACACTTGCAACACACACACACACACACACACACACACACACACACACACACACATATATATATTGAAGATAGGTATGTTATACACATAGAGATGAATATAGAATAGCAGAATATACCTCCTTGTGTGCCTCCATTACTCTCTGAACTCTAATTATCTAATTATCTTTCACTTACTACATTTCTGAGAGGTCAAAAGGTCCTCTCATTTACTATCTGAATCATCAAATATCTATGTGAGCTTTTCACTGGTGGACTTTAAGGTCCTGTCTTTGTCCAGTCTCCCACAACTTTGAAAATATGTTTACAATGGGAATGGATCGATCTAGATCATATTAGGTAACAAAGATGGACAATTGCACCATAATTTGTTTGCATTAACTTCCAGTCTTTTCATTAACTGTTAAACAAATTCAAGATGAAGCAAAATACTTCTAAGGAACAGAAAGTGAAAAATAGTTCACTGCAGATGCTACTAAAGTAGCATTCCACCAATGTCTGCATGACACGGAAATAATTTACTTGGTTTAATTTCAGAGAGTTTGCTGGTCATTTCCCAGAGCTGAACATGGGCTGTTGCATAAATTTCTAAGAAGCAAATGTTTAACAGACCAGATTGCAGAAGGTATTAGAAGAACTTTGTTTGGTTTGTAGAAAACAGGTCCTTTGCTAATGGCAACAATACTACAGGTCCCAGTTCTATGACTCTGCTGTGACAAGAGGAGAGATACATTAAGAGGAGTTCAAGATCAACCCTATTTAATTTGTTTCTATGAAACGGAACTTTATTTGGAGGTGTATACTTACCTTGGTGTAAGCAATTCTGCTCCCCATTGGAGACAGTCATCCAGCCTCAATGGCCTTTCAGGAACTCTTGAATTCAGTCAGAGGCATGGGGAGGTTTCAGATTTTTCAGATGACTTTTTTCTTGTTCTGTACTGCCATAGTGATTCCCCACAACTATTTGGAGAACTTCACTGCAGCCATACCGAGTCATCGCTGCTGGGTCCCCATCCTTGACAATGACACTGTCTCTGACAATGACAGCGGAATCCTGAGCCAAGATGACCTCCTGAGGATCTCCCTCCCATTGGACTCCAACCTGAGGCCAGACAAGTGCCGTCGCTTTGTCCAGCCACAGTGGCATCTCCTTCATCTGAATGGCACCTTCTCTAATGTGACAGAGGCAGACACAGAGCCCTGTGTGGATGGCTGGGTGTACGACAGAAGCACCTTCCTCTCCACCACTGTAACTGAGGTAAGTGGCTTCAAAAAGACCTTTCCCTCACTGAATTCATTGCAACAGTTCAGCAATAGCACAAATAGCATATATGCTTTTGCTTATTCATTGTCTTCTTAAATGCAAGGATCATATTCAATAATTCTAATGACTTCTAGTATGAATGAAGATTTATGTTTCTGATCCTTTCTTTCAAGGCATGACCTCAGATTAAGAAGCAGCTTGTAGAAGAAATTTGACAACAGGATCATTTAGCAAAATAACAACAGTAGAGGCCTATTTTCATCCAAGTCATGGGCTTCTAACTGGTTTTACAATGTCAGTCATTATTTTCTTCCTCTGTACCAAGCTATAAATCCAATCCAAATGGTTGGTTATTTTATATCACTTATGTCACTACTTCAACAATGGCCATTTTGTCTTGTAGGTTGGTATTGTAGCATGAGGGTCAAGTGCTAAGCAAGGCCATTGACGTCTTTTGTCTATCTGCACTCTATATAGAAACATCTACCACTATGAAAAATGACCATTAAGGAGAGTTTTCAATCTGGTTTGACAGTTATCTCTATGTCCTAAAAAAAAAAGTGGTCTCTTCAATAGCAGGGTCTTAACATTTAGTTATGGCAGGAATCTATGAGCAATGGTAACAGCCTGAGTTGTTTTGGAGGCCTGTGGGGCTTCCCTGACAAATAATTTGTACAAAGTTATTGCACATGCATGGCACTAGGGTTTCTGCTAAATATCCCAGGACTTCTGAGATCAGTGTTATTCACCCAAATATTGTACCTTCTTTTAAATTGTATTTTGAAATTGGCTTACTCAACAACAGATTTCCATGGGGCTTTCAGTCCATCCTTCAGGGAGGTGTTGGAGAAAGGGATTGAACAAGGAATGGGGAGGAGGGAATGGTACAATTATATTTTATTTTTGAAATTTTAATAACAATAAAAAGAAGTTGACAGAGAGGAAACATCCTTATAAGTGAACTCAGTGACAAAGTGGTTACTTACACAAGACCAGCACAAGGTCAAATCAATCAAAATTCCAGCATAGATGGGAACAGAGCTCAGGAGGACCCACTGAGGATGTATTGGGAGTTGATGGTTGCTTGGGGAGGGACTTTTATCATATTTTAGGGGTATGGCTAATACTAGGTTGTCTGCACTCTAATGTACACATAGGCAACATTAACCAAACAATGGAATATGAGAAAAAGGAAAAAGATGTGAGGGTTGGAGAAGGATGTGTTCAGGTATCTTGGAGGGAGTTGTGGGGGATACAAAGGTTGGATTATCATAGTGTTTTGTATACATGTATGAAAATTCTAAGAATGGTGTAAATAATAATAAGAAAAATATGTAAAAAGTAATTATTGTGTATAAAGTTAGTTTAAGTGAAGTGTTCATGTTTGGTTTACACTTAAAACATAAGTTTATACAAAGCCACAGTGATGACTAGAAATGGAGGTCCATGACAGAGTATATCTGCAGCACTTGTGAGACTCAAAATTCAGTTACTTGGCACTGCAAAAACTCCCATCAGTTCACATTCTTTGATAGACCAGAGTGTGGGTAATTGCTAGTATTCTACCCATGTGTGGGCCCTGAGTTCCATCAACTATATTGTCAAAAGTATAAAAGTAAATAAGTAAAACAAAAACAGTGATCAGGATCTAGCTGAGCTCTACTCAAAGAGGAATCATGGAGGAAGCTGTGCTCTGATACATAGAGTCCAGTTAAAAAAATTTAAGGGTCATGGATTATTGCATTATAGGGCCAAATTTGAGAACTTAGTATTGTTTACAAGTCACTAGTATAACCTACAATAATCACAGTAAGACTAGTGGGGGCAGATTTATTAAAGCTATAATTGGATGGTAGAAATTAGGTAATAGTGAAAAAGGAAGCTGGAAAGGAAGATGGGTTCAGTGCAATTGGATGCTCATGTTGAAGAATTTTGAACAAATTACACTGACAGGCTGTCATGCTGGTTTCTTTCTCTTCCAGTGGGACCTGGTATGTGAATCTCAGGCACTGGATTCTATGTCTAAATTCACAGTCACCATTGGAAATGTGATAGGGCATTCCTTAGGTGGCTATTTAATAGACAGGTGAGTGTCCATGCTTTGCAGCCCTCTCTACATGTGAATATTCCTCATTAGCTGTAACTCATTCACTCTTTGACCCTAGAGATCACTAAACACAAACAGAATTTCACTTAGTATTTAGAAGTCTGTGTGTTGTGTTGACACAGAACTAGCATATTATTAGACATGGAAGAGGTAAAACAAACAAACAAAAAACAAACAAAAACAAAAAACAAAACAAAACTAAGAGACAATGTGGCAGGCATGGACGAGAAAAATGATAAAAGTTAACCACAGGGAATAGAGAAAATTCTTACTGACTTATTTGTAACAACACCTGCATTACTTCTCTGATGGAACTTTTGTCTTTTCCTCAGGTTTGGGAGGAAGTTAATCTTCACATATGCTTTACTGCTAATGGCCATCTGTGAGACCTGTGCAGCTCTGGTTCCTACCTTCTTCATCTACTGCTCAGTTCGCCTTCTGGGTGCGGCTTGTAACTTACTCATATTCATGAATAGTACTTTGCTAAGTAAGTCAGAGCTTTTGATGGCCATTCTACAAGTTTTTGTTTTATGGAGGTATCCTTTCCACCTTTTTTTAGGAGTTGAGATTTGATTTTCTTTCCTTTCAGTGGTAGAATGGACAAGCCCTAAATTTCAAGCCTTGGTGACGATACTGATAACATGTGCTCAAGGTTTTGGAAATCTAATAGTGGCAGGCCTGGCATCTGCATTTCGAAACTGGCACCACCTCCAGATGGCAATGTCTGTGCCAGTGTTTTTCCTCATTATACCCACAAGGTAGGAGCTTTCCTCCTCCTCCCCCTCCTCCTCCATCTTCTCCCCCTCCTCTTTTTCTTCTGGAGGAATATAGGTTTTCTAAAATATTTTTTATTTAAACTAAAACTCAATATTATTTTACATATTAATCCCAGTTCCCATCTCCCTCCTGTCCTTCAACCCCTCCACACAACCCCTATGCACTCCCTAGGTAGAGTGAGGCCTCCCATGGGGAATCATCAAAGTCTGTCATACCTTTTGGGGCAGGACCAAGGCCCTCCCCTGTGTATCCAGGCTGAGAGAGTATCCTTCCATAGGGAATGGACTCCCAAAGGCCACTCATGCACTAGGGATAAATACTGGTTCCACTGCCAGAGGCCCCATAGACTGCTTAGGCCTCCCAACTGACACCCATGTTCAGGGGGCCTGGTTTTGTCCTATTCTGGTTCCCCAGCTGTCCATCTGGGGTCCTTGAGTTCCAACTTGTTCATGTCAGCTGTTTCTGTGGATTTCCCCAGCATGGTCTTGACCCCTTTGCTCATTACTCCTTCCTCTATGCAACTGGATTCCAAGAGTTCTGCTCAGTGTTTAGCTGTGGATCTCTGCTTCTGCTTCCATCAGCTACTGGGTGAAGGCTCTAGGATGGCATTTAAGGTTGTCATCATTCTCATTATAGAGGAAGGGCATTTAAGGGAGCCTCTCCACTATTGCTTAGATTCATCCTTGTGGATCCCTGAACATTTTCCTAGTGCCAGCTTTCTCTTTAAACCTATAATGGCTCCTTCTGTTAAGGCATCTCTTTTTTTCCTCTCCTCTATTCTTCCTTTGACTCGACTCGATCTTCCCGATCCCTCATGTTCTCCTTCCCCCTCCTTCCCTTCTCTTTCTTCTATCTCACTCCCCCTTCTCTGTGCTCCCAATTTGTTCAGGAAATCTTGTCCCTTTTCCCTTCTTGGGGGGCCCATGTATGTCTCTCTTAGGGTCCTCCTTACTTCCTAGCTTCTCTGGGGTTGTGGACTGTAGGCTAGAGATCCTTTGCTCTATGTCTAATATCCACTTATGAGTGAGTACATACCATATTTGTCTTTCTATGTCTGGGTTACCTCACTCAGGATATTTTCTTTTAGTTCCATCCATTTGCAAATTTCAAGATTTCATTGTTTTTTCCCACTGTGTAGTACTCCATTGTATAAATGTACCACATTTTCTCTACCCATTCTTCAATTGAGGGGCATCTAGATTGTTTTCAGGTTCTGGCTATTACAAATAATGCTGCTATGAACATTGTTGAACAGATGTCCTTGTGGTTTGGACGTGCATCCTTTGGGTATATGCCTAAGAGTGGAATTGCTGGATCTTGAGGTACACTGGTTCCCATTTTCCCAAGGAACCGCCATATTGATTTCCAAAGTGGCTGTACATGTTTGTACTCCCAACAGCAATGGAGGAGTGTTCTCCTTACTCCACATCCTCTCCATCATAAGCTGTCATGGTTGTTTTAATTTTAGCCATTGTGCCAGGTATAAGATGGTAACTCAGAGTTGTTTTGATTTACATTTCCCTGATGACTAAGGATGTTGAGCAATTTCTTAAGTGCCTTTTGGCCATTTGAGATTCTTCTCTTGAGAATTCTCTATTTGTATCCCACTTTTTAAAAATTTATTATTTTACATGTCTATCCCAGTTCCCTCTCCTTCCCTCCCTCCTTTTTACCTTCTCTGCCTTCTTACATGCACCCTAACCACCCTCCCCTCCCATCCCCCCACCCCAATTCCATATGTAGGGGAATGCCATCCAGTTGGGGTCATGTAGATCTGACAGGTCATATGAAATAGAGACTAGGGCTTCTCTCCTGTCTCTAGGTTAAGACAGTTATCCCTCCATGGGGGATGTGTTCGCAAGGTCCTTTTGTGCACCAGGGATACTTTGGTGTTTTGGTGACTAGCTTCTTGAGTTCTTTGTATATTTGGAAATCAGCCCTCTGACAGATGTGGGGTTGGTGAAGATATTTTCCCATTCTGTGGGCTGCCATTTTGTCTTGTTAACTGTCTTCCTTGCTTTATAGAAGCTTCCCAGTTTCAGGAGGTCCCATTTATTAATCGTCGATCTCAGTGTCTGTGCTACTGGTGTTATGTTCAGGAAGTGGTCTCCTGTACCAATTTGTTCAAGGATGTCTCCCACTTTCTCTTCTAAGAGGTTCTTGTGGTTGGATTTATGTTGAGGTCTTTGATCCATTTGGACTTAAGTTTTGTGCGTGGTAATAGATAAGGATCTTTCTGCAGTCTTCCACATGTCAGCATCCAGTTATGCCAGCACCATTTGTTGAAAATGCTTTCTTTTTTCCATTGTATAGTTTTAGCTTCTTTGTCAAAAATCAGGTGTTCATAGGTGTGTGGATTGTTTTGAAATCCTGGGATTACAATGTCCATGAAATCAGGACATAAGAAATACATTTATCAGAGGCTCTGTGAATTCATGTGTGTCAGTCCTGTAGTATCTGGAAGACAGTGTTTTCTTGGTATCATTACTTTTCTGGTAACATAACTAGTGAACAAAATTTATTCAGATGTCTTAATTTAGGGAACAGATGCTTGATGAAGAAATATTCTCTACAACAAGAATATTGGAATTTTTCTGGAAAAATATTCTTCGTATTCTAGTTCTAAGACCTGCATTAAAATCTTTATCCATATGAGGACAGACCAATGTGGTTAGAGATCTATATTCAAGAAGTGCTGGTGCACCATGTGACTGAATCATTTCCTGCTTTCCTAGGCAATGTACCCCATGACACAAGATCATACATTTTTGTCATAATGGAATGATGGATGGGTATTAGATTAAAAAATAAATCTATTCAAGAATAAAATATAGTGTTGAAAGTGACCCCTTTAAAATTTATGGCCATGTCTTCTTGAGCAGGTGGCTGTCAGAGTCAGCTCGGTGGCTGATTGTGAACAACAAACCACAGAAGGGCTTAAAGGAGCTTAGAAAAGTTGCTTGCAAGAATGGAATAAAGAACTCTGAAGATGTCTTAACCATAGAGGTGAGTATAATGCAAGCTAGGTATGACAGAAAGGAAATATAAGCCTGCCATATGTATTAGTTAGTACCCAAGATAAAATGTGCCATCATTAAATCATTGTATCCACTTCTTTCATTCAAAAAGGACTTTGTGGAAAAAAATAACATCTTTTATGATGTCTTTTACTTTTAAACTTTTTAAAGAATATATGTGTTATACATAGTGATTAAGTCTGAACATTTACACATGCATGTAAGTATTGTTTCATTTATACCCCTTCAGTACATAATCACACCTGATGATTCTCATAGTCTTCAAAACTAGTCCTATCAATATTCAGATCCCCTAGTCTCTTTTTGTATCTTCTTTTTTGTTATCTAATACGTGTTTAATTGAGGTTATTTACAGACACATGTTGAGGATTTACCTACAGAACATGGGCAATTGAAGAAATTTCTGTCTCTTCCTTAGCAACTATCACCTGCCCATATAGCCTCAGGTGAGGGTATGGCTTTATGAGGTCCTGCACACAATCAAGGGTAATTAAAAATAGGTTGTCAAATGGAAATGGATTTTGTGAGCTCTTCCAAAGATGGTATATTGAATGGCATAACTTTGGTCAGGTATCATGCATGTGACCACAGTTAATGACAGTTAAAAGAGTGCAATGCCCATGGCATATCTGGAAGATAGATTCACACATTTTCAACCATGTCTTCTCAATTTTTCATCCTGTCCTTTGCATTTTCCATGATTTCTTGTAGCTTTGAAAAAAAGGTGATAGAAATATGTCACTTAGAAATGATGAATGAGTAGTCACTTATTTTCATCACTTTTACCAGTTTTGAGTCTGTAACAACTGACACCCACTAAATACAAGAAGCTGAAATGAACTCTAACCTATAGCCATGAATAAAAGTATTAAAGACTATTTAATTCCTTTCATGCCCAGAAGATTCCATTATGAGGTGCAGATACCAGACGTGGATCTACAGTATTTAATGGTTTTCATTTTGGGTTTCAGTCTTGCATTGGCCCAGTCATTTGTTGTATACCCTCACTTTTCTCTTTTGAAATGGGAATGCTGGAAGTACATCAATTAGTTCATTATATAAAAGCTTGAGTTATGAAAAGAAGGGCTCTGTTGGCATATTTTGTTGATTTTCAAAGTAAAGCAGTATTGGACAGGTCAGAGAGAGAGAGAGAGAGAGAGAGAGAGAGAGAGAGAGAGAGAGAGAGAGAGAGAGAGAGAGACTCCTTTGAGTTAAAAATGTGACTTGGTATTTGGATTTCCAAATTATTTGTATTTCTCCATAGACTCATTTCCTATCAATCATGAAGAGGTGGAAGGTTATGGTTGAAAGATTATGTGCTTGGGTGTCGAGTTGACAAGAATTACAGCTATGATGGCTAATTTTAGTTGTCAACTTAACAAGATCACCTAGGAGAAAGCCTCCAGGCACATGAGGGGTGTCTTAGTTTAGGTCAGCCTATGGCCATTCCTCTGTGGGATTTTCTTTTCTTTTCTTTTTTTTTTAATTTAATTTTTTATTTATTATTTTACATGTGGATCCCAGTTCCCTCTCCCTCTCTCCCTCCCTCCCTTTTATCCTCTCTGCCCTCTCACATGCACCCTGACCACCCTCCCCTCCCATCCCCCACCCAAATTCCACATGTAGGACAATGCCATCCAGGTGGGGGTCATATAGGTCTGTCAGGTCATTTGAAGTAGGGACTAGGACTCTCTCCTGTCTCTAGGTTAAGGCAGCATCCCTTAACCTTGCGAATGTGTTCGCAAGGACCTTTTGTGCACCAGGGATACCTCCTGGTTCCACTGTCTGAGGTCCCTTAGATTGCTCAGTACTTCTGGCTGAGACCCATATTTAGGGGCCCTGAGTCAATCCCATGCTGGATTCCCAGCTATCAGCCTGGGGGCCCGTTAGCTCCTCCTTGTTCAGGTCAGCTATCTCTATGGGTTTCTGCAACCTGTTCTTGTCCTCTCCCTCTGCATCTGGATTCTAGTTTGACTCAGTGTTTAGGTATGGGTGTTTGCTTCTGTTTCCAAGAGGTATTAGATGAGGGCTCCATGGATAAGTTAGTTGTTGGTCTCACTATCCGTGAAGGTCATTTATGGTAGCCTTTCCACGGTAGCTCAAATTGTTAGTTGGTGGCAGTCTTGTAGGTCTCTAGACCTTTCTTTAGGTTCAGTTTTCTCTTGAAACCAATAATGGCTCCCTCTTTCTCTGTCTCTCTCTGTCTCTCTCTGTCTCTCTCTCTCTTCTGTCTTCTATTCCTACCCTGACTCAATCTTCCTAGTTGCAAGTGTTTTCCTCTCCTCTCCCTCTCTTTCTCCTACTTCTCTCTCCATTCACTGCCCCCCCCCACTTCCCCTATGCTCTGGGAGACTTGTCCCTTCCCCTTTCTGTGAGGGACTTTATATGAATCTCTTAGAATACACCTTGTATCCTAGTTCCTCTGGTGGTGTGATCCTTTGCTCTAGGTCTAAAATCCATATATGAGCGAGTACAAACCATGTTCCTCTTTTTGTGACTAGGTTACCTCATTCAGGATGGTTTCTTCAAGTTCCATCCACTTGCCTGCGAATTTCAAGATTCCATTATTTTTTTCTACTGAGTAGTATTCCATTGTGTAGATGTGCCACATCTTCTTTATCCATTCTTCAGTTGAGGGGCATCTAGGTTGCTTCCAGGTTCTTGCTATTACAAATAATGCTGCTATGAACATAATTGAGCACATGTCTTTGTTGCATGGATGTGGATCATTTGGGTATATGCCTAAGAGGAGGATTGCTGGGTCCTGTGGTAAACTAATTCCCATTTTCCTGAGGAACCGCCATACTGATGTCCAAAATGGCTGTACGAGTTTGTACTCCCACCAGCAGTGGAGGAGTGTTCCCCTTTCTCCGCATCTTCTCCAGCATGAGTTGTCATTGGTGTTTCTAATTTTAGCCATTCTGGCAGGAGTAAGATGGTATCTCAATGTTGTTTTGATTTGCATTTCCCTGATAGCTAAGGATGTGGAGCATTTTCTTAAGTGTCTTTCAGCCTTTTTGATTTCCTCTATTGAGAATTCTTTCTTCACTTCTGTACCCCATTTTTAAATAGGGTTATTTGGTGTTTTGTTGACTAGTTTCTTGAGTTCTTTGTATGTTTTGGAGATCATCCCTTCGTCGGATGTAGGATTGGTGAAAATCTTTTCCCAGTCTGTGGGCTGCCGTTTGGTCTTGTCCACTGTGTCCTTTGCCTTACAGAAGCTTCTAAGTTTGAAGAGGTCCCATTTATTAATTGTTGCTCTCAGTGTCTCTGCCCCTGGAGTTATGTTCAGGAAGCAGTCTCCTATACCAATTTGTTCAAGGGTACCTCCTACTTTCTCTTCTAAGAGGTTCACTGTGGCTGGATTGATGTTGAGGTCTTTGATCCATTTGGACTTGAGTTTTATGAATGGCGACAGACATGGGTCTATCTGCAATCTTCTATACACCATCATCCAATTGTGCCAGCACCATTTGTTGAAGATGCTGTCCTCGCCCCATTGTATCCTTTTAGCTGTTTTGTCGAAAATCAGGTGTTCATAGGTGTATGGGTTAATATCAGGATTTTTAATTGGATTCCATTGTTCTACCTGTCTAATTTTGGCCAATATCAGGCTGTTTTCAGAACTATAGCTCTGTAGTAGAGCTTAAAGTCAGAAATGGTGATGCATCCTGAAGTTCTTTTATTTTACAGGGTTGTTTTAGCTATCCTGGGTCTTTTGTTTTTCCATATAAAGTTGATTATTATCCTTTCAAGGTCAGTGAAGAATTGTGCTGGGATTTTAATGCAGATTGCATTGAATCTGCAGATTGCTTTTGGCAAGATTGCCATTTTTACTATGTTTATCTTACCTATCCAAGAGCATGGGAGATCTTTCCATTTTCTGGTATCTTCTTTAATTTCTTTCTTTAGAGCCACAAAGTTCTTATTATATAGGTATTTCACTTGTTTGGTAAGCATTACTCCAACATACTTTATGTTGTTTGTGGCTATTGTAAAGGGTGATGTTTCTCTGATTTCTTTCTCAGCCTCTTTGTTGTCTGAAAAAAGTAGGGCTACTGATTTTTTTGAGTTTATCTTTTATTCTGCTAGTTTGCTGAAGGTGTTTGTCAGCTGTAGGTGTTCCCTGGTAGAGTTTATTGGGTCGCTTATGTAAACTATCATATCACCTGCAAATAGAGACAGTTTGACTTCTTCCTTTCCAATTTGGATCCCCTTGATCTCCTTTTGTTGTCTTATAGCTTTAGCTAGAACTTATAGTACGATATTGAAGAGATATGGAGAGAGAGGGCAGCCTTGTCTTGTTCCTGATTTTAGAGGAATTGGCTTAAGCTTCTCTCCATTCAGTTTGATGTTGGCTGTTTGTTTGCTGTATATTGTTCTTATTATTTTTAGGTATGTTCCTGTTATCCTTGATCTTTCCAAGATCTTTATCATGAACGGGTGTTGAATTTTGTCGAAGGCTTTTTCTGCATCTAGGGAGATGATTATATTTTTTTCTTTTTCTGTTTGTTTATATGGTGGATCACGTTGATAGATTTTTATATGTTAAACCATCCCTGCAATCCAGGGATGAAGCCTACTTGATCATGGTGGATGATTTCTCTTGAATTCGGTTTGCCAGTATTTTATTGAGTATTTTTGCATCGATGTTCATCAGGGTTATTGTTCTGTAGTTTTCTTTCTTAGTTGTGTCTTTGTGGGGCTTGGGTACCAAGGTTATTGTGGCCTCATAAAAAGAGTTTGGCAGTGAACCTTCTGTTTCTATTTTGTGAAACAGTTTGAGGAGTAGTGGTATTGTTCTTCCTTGAATGTCTGGTAGAATTCTGCACTGAATCCATCTGGCCCTGAACTTTTTTTTGGTTGGAAGGCTCTCGATGACTACTTCTATTTCATTGCGGGTTATAGGTCTATTTAAGTTGTTTGTCTGTTCTTGATTTAATTTTGGTAAGTGATAGTTATCCAGAAATTTGTCCATTTCCTTTGAATTTTCAATTTTTGTGGAATACAGGTTTTCAAAGTATGACCTGAAAATTGTCTGGTTTTCCTCTGTGTCTGTTGTTATGTCCCCTTTTCATTTCTGATTTTGTTAATTTGCATGTTCTCTCTCTGTTTTTTCATTAGTTTGGATAAAGATTTGTCTATCTTGTTGATTTTCTCAAAAAACCAACTCTTCGTTGCATCGATTTTTTGGTATTGTTTTCCTGGTTTCTATTTTGTTGATTTCAGCCCCCAAGTTGATTATTTTCTGGTGTCTAATCCTCTTTTTTTGTTTTAAGACTTTCAGTTGTGCTGTTAATTCTCTTATGTGGCTATCCTCTGTTTTCTTCATATGGGCACTTAGTGCAATGAATTTCCCTCGTAACACTGCTTTCAAGGTGTCTTGTAAGTTCGGGTATGTTGTGTTCTCATTCTCGTTGGGTATTAGAAAGTCCTTAATTTCTTTCTTTATTTCTTCTTTGACCCATGTGTGGTGTAATTGCACATTGTTCAGTTTCCATGAGTTTGCAGGTTTTCTGCTATTTGTGTTGTTGTTGAATTCCAATTTTAAAGCATGGTGGTCTGATAAGGTACAGGGGAGTATTCCAATTCTCTTGTATCTGTTGAGGTTTGTTATGCCACCTAGTATGTGATCGATTTTAGAGAAGGTTCCATGTGGAGCAGAGAAGAAGGTATATTATTTTGTGTTTGGATGGAATGTTCTATAGATGTCTGTTAAACCCAGTTGAAACATAACAGTTAGTTCTTTTGTTTCTTTGTTGAGTTTCTGATTGGTGGTCCTGTCTAGTGTTAGAGTGGTGTGTTGAAGCCTCCCACTCTAATTATGTTAGGTTTTATATGAGCTTTGAGTTTTGGTAGCGTTTCTTTTATGAATGTGGGAGCCTTTGTATTTGGGGCATAGATGTTCAGAACTGAGACTTTATGTTGATGGATTTCTCCTGCTATGAATACAAAATGACTGTCTTCATCTCTTTTGATTAATTTTGGTTTGAAGTCTAAATTGTTAGATATTAGGATAGCCACACATGCTTGCTTCTTGGTTCCATTTGATTGGAAGATCTTGTCCCAACCCTTTACCCTGAGGTAATGTCTATCTTTGAAGTTTAGATGTGTTTCTTGTATGCAGCAGAAGGATGGATTCTGTCTTCGTATCCATTCTGTTAGCCTGTGTCTTTTTATAGGTGAGTTAAGACCATTAATGTTGAGGGTGATTAAGGACCATTGATTGTTGATGCTTGTTTGTTTCAGATTTGTTGTTGACAGTGGTATTGTGAATATATTTGTCCTGCTTTACCCTTGGTTTCTGGTGTAGTTAGATTATCTGTTGCCTACATCTTTGTGGGCTTAGTTACCTTCCTTGGGTTGGAGTTTTCCTTCCAATACTTTCTGTAGGGCTGGATTTGTAGATACATACTGGGAAAATCTGGTTTTGTCGTTAAATGTCTTGTTTTCTCCATTTAGTGATTGAGAGTTTTGCTGGGTAGTAGCCTGGGCTGGCATCTGTGGTCTCTTAGTACTTGTAAAACATCTATCCAGGACCTTCTGGCCTTGAGGGTTTCCATGGAGAAGTCAGGTGTAATTTTGATAGGTCTGCCTTTATATGTTACCTGTCCTTTTTTTCCCACTGGTCTTAATATTCTTTCCTTATTCTGTATGCTAGGTGTTTTGATTATTATATGTAGAGGGGTCTTTTTTCTTTGGTCCAGCTTATTTGGTGTTTGGTATGCTTCTTGTACTTTCATGGGCATGTCCTTCTTCAGATTGGGAAAGTTTTCCTCGATGATTTTGTTGAATATGTTTTCGGCACCTTTGAGCTGGGCTTCCTCACCTTCCTCTATGCCTATTATTCTTAGGTTTGGCCTTTTCATGGTGTCCCACATTTCTTGGATGTTTTGTGTTAAGGATTTGTTGGATTTGCGATTTTCTTTGGTCGATGAATCTGTTTCCTCTAGTTTATCTTCTGCGCCTGAGATTCTCTCTTCCATCTCTTGAATTCTGTTGGTTATGCTTGTGTCTGTAGTTCCCGATCTTTTGCCCAGTTTTTCTATTTCCAGCATTCCTTCGGTTTGTGTTGCCTTTATTTTCTCTATTTCAGTTTTCAAGTCTTGAACCATTTCCTTTACCTGCTTAATTGTTTTTTCTTAGTTTTCTGTACTTTCTTTACTTTCCTTAAGAAATTTGTTCATTTCTTCTACTTTTTTGTTTGTTTTTTCTTCCATTTCTTTAAGGGATTTTCTCACATCTTCTTTGAGGGCCTCTATCATTTTTATGATGGTAATTTTTAAGTCGTTCCCTTCTGCTTAATCTGCTTTGTTGTTTGGTTCTGGTTTAGTTGGTGTAGATTCCCTAGATTCTGGTGGTGTCATGCTTGTCTTTCTGTTGTTAGGTGTTTTCTTGTATTGCTGTCTTCCCATAGCTTCTTCCAGTAGGTGTTGGTGGGGTCTCTCCCTCTCTCTGTATGGTACTTCCCTGGTGGGTCAGAGGTTCGATGTCTATAGCTCTGGGTGGTTCAAGCTCTCTAGGAGGTCTCTCCACAGGCAGGGGTCCGGGGAAGGGGGTCAGCGATCAGGCTCCAGCAGAAGACTGGCAATGGGGGTCAAAGATCCCGAAGGCAGGGACTCTCGATGTTCCTTGTGCCTAAAGGCAGATCTAGCCTGGGTCTGGTACTCTCCAGCTGAGGCTTCTTTAGCAGAGGCCCTGCTATGGGAGTCAAGGATCCTGCTGGCAGGAACTCAGAGTGGTTTCGCAGAGATAGGCGGGTCTCTGGGAGGGGCCCAGTGGGGGTCAGAGACCAGGCAGGTGGAAATTGTGGGTGGTCTCCCGTGGATAGGCAGGTCTCCTGTGTTCAGAGCCGCTCCCAGAAGTTCCCCCGAAGTTGTCTGGACTGTTGGCTCCCCCTCTGTCCCAGTGCTCAACCAGAATGGTGGGACAGTGGGCAAGGTAGGGGTAAGGCAGGCTCTCAGTGGGGGTGGGTGGAGGTGTATCAGAGCTCCAAGAGCGCTCTCGATGGGGACAGGACACAGGAGCAGGGGGATCGGGGCCAATCCAGGGAGTTCCCCGGGGAGAGTGTAGGGGAGAGGCCACCCCAATTGGGCCCAGACTCAACTCCAGCCAAGGCCTGGCAGTAGAGGACAAAGGCTGGGCTGATACTCAGGATGTTTCTGCACCGATAGGTGGGTCTTACTGGGACCTGGCACTCTCCAGCTGAGGCCTCTTTAGCAGAGGCCCTGTTATGGGGGTCAAGGATCCTGTGGTCAGGAGCTCAGAGTGGTCCTGCAGATACTGTGAGGGGCCCTGGACTCCAGTAGAGGACTAGCGGTGAGGGTCAGAGACCAGGCAGGTGGAAATTACGGGTGATCCATAGATAGGTAGGTCTCCTGTGTTCAGATCCACTCCCAGAAGTACCCTGAAGTTGTCTAGACTGTTGGTTCCACCCTCTATCGGGATTATCTTGAATACATTAACTGAGGAGGAAACATTCACCCTAAAGGATAAAAAGGGAGCCCTGAGAGCTTGGGTCTTAGAGTACATAAACAGGAACCTAGCTCAGCATCGGCATTCATCACCTGCGTTCTTCACTATATCACATCCCAAATGCTGTGCAGTCTTGACATTTCGTCTGATCAATAGTGCACTTCTTTGTCTTTAGCTTCACTCATTTTCAGAACATAGCCAGAATACTGCCAGAATCTGGTGGTGGTTGTTCGTATTGGTAGTGGTGTCTTCAAAAGGGAAAGACGAATGTCCATCTCCCAAATTCCCAGTGAAGTGCCTATTCCCAACTGAAATCTCATGGAGCAACCCTTCACTGTTCAGATTTGTGTCAGCATTTCTGTATACCAAACTCCCACAAGAGCCATTGTCTCTACCCTGCCTCTGAAAACTCCCACAATCCACGACTAAATCACAACACATGGTCTGCACAATGGTTTCATTTGTCAGAACAACAGCACATTTGGCAGCAATTTGTTTTGTGGGCTACTTTTGCTTTGCTGTTACCAAGACTCATAACAGAAACAACAAAATGGAATAAAATTGATTTTGGCTCACAGATTCACAACATTCAGTTAATCATAGTAAAGAGGCATGGTAATACTGAGGCAGGAGTTTGTGATAAAAACTTGTCACATCATGGTGGACCAAGAGTCATATCCATAAACAAATGCCACCTACTACCTTCAAAGCCCCGGATGAGCTATGAAGGAAAGGTAAGCTTTATCTCCTAAGAGCTGCTCAGCTTCTGAAACATGAACCAACCAGGCAACCAACATTTCAAGAGTGCCCTGTGTATTCTTTAAAAAGAAAAACAGGACTCCAAAATGTATATAAAGAATTGATATTTCTGAGTCTTTTTTTCCACCAGTGGAGGAATGACTAAACAATGGAACACTGATTAAAATTAAGTATGAGACAAAAAGTAATAAAGAAAATCAAACACACATACATGCATGAACAAACACATCAGAGAACCATACTACATTGCTGTATTATTCAAATTCATTCTAGTATGAATGGAGCTTAGGAACAGAATCTAAATAACTCTTCACTTGACGTCAACATTCTGTAGCCATCTACTGTTGAAAAGGTCCATTCTTTCTAGAAACAGCACAAGAACTCTAATTCCTTGGTCCATACTTCTTACCACCTTTGTTATGCTTGCTAAAGGTTTCCTGCTGTCTGTGGTTTTCACTAGACAGAATTAGTAGATACTGATCTGTTATATGTGTTTCACTAGACAGAACTAGTAGATACTGGTTTGGTATTCTGTGAGTGCCCAGCATGCATCAAAGTTCTCACCATTCTGTGAAAACTAAAGTTTCTTGATGCTGTTACTGAAGGTTGTGAGAGCCGCCATGAGGGAAGAGGTGGAGGCAGCAAGGACAAAACCTTCTCTGTGTGACTTGCTCCGTGCACCCAAGTTGAGAAGACGCATGTTTCTCCTGTGTCTTTTGAGGTATGCTTCCTTTAGTGTCTATTAAAACAGTATAGAGGCTGGGAGATGGTGGCACATGACTTTAATCCCAGAACTTGGGAGGCAGAAGCAGGAGAATTAATGAGTTCATGGCCAACCTGGTCTACAGGGCAAGTTCCATGATGGCCAGTGATCCACAGATAATCTCTGTCTCAAATAACCAAAAACAAAGTTCACTATGGGCTGGGTGCTGATGGACACACCTTTGAACCCCGTACTCAGGAGGCAGAGGCAGGTGGATCTTTGTGAATTTAAGACCAGCCTGGTATACAAGAGCTAGTTCCAGGACAACCTCCAAAGCCACAGAGAAATCCTGTCTTGAAAAACAAGCAAAAAAATACACTATAGAAATGTATTTTCTCATCAACAGAGCTGGGGATAAAAAATGAAAGATTTCTATATCTTTAAGTATTCTAGGTGTCTTGAATATATAAACATAGAATGAATTATACAGTGTGGGGTAATTTTAGAGCATCCTGGCAGGTTCATCAATACAGACTCTTGATGAACTTTCATTCCTGGTTCAGACTTTGACTATTCCTCTGTTTCCATTTCAAAGGAGATAAAATTTGAAACATAAATTACACAAGTATATAAATCTCAACAAATATATACAAAGGGGAAAATTATAGCCATAACTCGGGGAAATATCAGGTAGTGACATGGAAGACCCAGTCAACTTGCAAATAAAAAATTTACTTCAAGGGAATCTCACTAGGGAAACAAACCACTCTTAAGGGTAGGCCCCCTTACCAACAGTATATGGCCATCACAAGAGGAGCTCAATGGCATCTTTGGATGATATTTTGTCAAATAATATTGTAAAAAAATCTTACAGGTCATTTATGTGGACATTATAGCTTCCAATATTGTGTTTTTAAGGGATTTAAAAACATTTGTATTTCTGCATCTATATCTATTTCTTGTGCTTTCCTCTTTCAGTCTTTTTTTTCCTGATTGTTCTTTTCATTCAGACTTGTTTTGGTTATCTTAGTTAATTATTCCTTAGATGTGTGTTTGTTTTCTAATGAGAGACAGAAAGGGTGTGGATCTGCATGGGAGAGAAGGATGGGGACATCTGAGAGGAGCAGAGTAAGGGAATTTAAATCAGAATATTGTTTGAGAATATTGCATTTTCTTTCTTTCTTTCTTTTTTCCTTCCTTTTTTCTTTCTTTTATTTTTTGAGTCAGGAGGGCATTGGTAAAAACTGAACCACTCATGTTTATTTGCACAATCTTTTTATACTTCCATCAAAAGAGGGGGAAAGGGCAAAATACAAAGAACCAGCAAGCAAAATTACCTTCTCAATACTCCAAACATCAAGTAATTATATCCTGAGTTAAGTATTCTATTGTTCAGGCAGGGCATGAGGTGACCGTAACATACACCAAGCATCCCAGTGCACTCATACTAAAGCCAGACATCTTATTGTTTCACCTTAGAAGAGCAAAAGCAGGCAAAAACTCTCTGACCTTAAATCAAAATGGAAGGGAGTCTATTCTGTGGGTTTCCATAGTTCCTCCTTTTTAATTATTTTTATAACACCTGCACTTCGGTCACAGGACAGATTGACTGTGTCTGTCTTAGGTTGTCTTTCTCAACCTGTGAGAGAAAAAGTCTGGGGAGAGAATTCCTTCTGTGCTCAAATCTTTTCTCTTAGGTCTTCAGGTGGTTTCATGAAGCCTGCTCACATTCTAGAGGACTAGAGCTGTCAATTTCTAAGTGATATATGATCCAAGGTGTGGCCTCTGTTGGGCATCTAAATAAAACCAAATAGATAAAGTTTTCAGGGGAGACAATATTTTTTACGTGAACAATTTTTAAAAAGTCTTTAAGTTAACATTTTTCTTCATTCAATATTGTATAGAATGCTGGGTATCTGGATTATCCGTTGCCAGTCCACATTCACTTTTATTCTTCAGAGTCTAGCATCTTTTCTTAGTTATTTAGTCAAGTATTAATCAGTAGATTTGATGGCATTGCAGAGGCACTTTTAAACTTTTTAAAATTAAAAACAATCTTATTTTACATACCAATCCCAGTTCCCTCTCCCTTCCATCCTCCCATTCCTCCTATCAATGCACCATCCCAACCCCCATCCACTCCTCAGGGAGGGTGACACCTTCCATGGGCAATCATCAAAGTCTGTCACATCATTTGGGGCAGACCTAGGCCCTCTCTCATGCCTATAGGCTGAGAAAGTATCCCTCCACAGGGATACTGGTTCCATTGCCAGGGGCCCCATAGACTGCCCAAGGCCCCCAACTGACACACACATTCAGGGGAACTGGTTCAATCATATCAGGGTTCCTAGCTGCCAGTCTGGGATCTCTGAGCTCCCACTTGCTCAAGTCAGCTGTTTATGCGAGTTTCCAGAGCATGGTCTTGACCCCTTTGCTCATCACTCCTTCCCATCTATAACTGGATTCCAGGAGTTCTGCTCAGTGCTTAGCTGTGAATGTCTGCTTCTGCCTCCCTCAGCTACTAGATGAAGGCTCTATGATGGCATTTAAGGTAGTCATCAACCTCATTATCAGGGAAGGGCATTTAAGGTAGCCGCTCCACTATTGCTTAGATTCTTAGTTGGGATCATCCTTGTACATCGCTGGACATTTCCCTAGTGCAGATTTCATGAAGCCCATTAAGGCTCCCTCTATCAAGGTATCACTTTCCTTGCTCTCTTTCTCTGTTCTTCCCCCAACTTGACCTTCCTGACCCCTCATGTTCTACTCCCTCCTCCCCTTCTCCCCTCTCCTGCTCCCCCTCTCCTGCTCCCAATTTGCTCAGGAGATCTTGTCCCTTTCCTCTTCTTGGGGGCGGGTCCATGTATGTCTCTTTTAGGGTCCTCTTTGTTTCCTAACTTCTCTGGAGGTGTGGATTGTAGGCTGGTGATCCTTTGCTCTATGTCTAATAGCCACTTATGAGTGAGTACATACCATGTTTGTCTTTCTGTGTCTGGGCTACCTCACTTAGGATGGTTTCTTCTAGTTCCATCCATTTGTCTGTAAATTTCAAAATTTCATTTTTTTTTTCTGTGAGTAGTACGCCATTGTGTCAATGTACCACCTCTTCTTTATCCATTCTTCAGTTGAGGGGCATCTAGGTTGCTTCCAGGTTCTAGCTATTACAAATAATGCTTCTATGAACATTGTTGAACAGATGTCCTTGTTATATGAATGTGCATCTTTTGGGTATATACCTAAGAGTGGAATTACTGAATCTTGAGGTAGACTGATTCCCATTTTCCTGATTTCCAAAGTGGCTGTACAAGTTTGCATTCCCACCAGCAGTGGAGGAGTGTTTCCCTTTCTCCACATTCTCACCAGCATAAACTTTCATTGGTGTTTTTGATTTTGGCCTTTCTGAAAGGTGTAAGAAGGTATCGCAGAGTTGTTTTGATTTGCATTTCCCTGATGTTGAGCAAATATATATATATTTCTTATTTTACATATCAATCCCAGTTCCTCTCCTTCCCTCCCTGAGCAATTTCTTAAGTACTTTTTGGCCATTTGAGATTCCTCTCTTGAGAATTCTCTATTTAGATCTGTACCTCATTTTTTAATTGAACTATTTGGTGTTTTGGTGACTAGCTTCTTGAGTACTTTGTATATTTGGAAATCAGCCCTCTGACAGATGTGGGGTTGGTGAAGATATGTTCCCATTCTATGGACTGTCATTTTGTCTTGTTGACTGTGTCCTTTGCTTTATAGAAGCTTTCCAGTTTCAGAAGGACACATTTATTAATTGTCCATCTCAGTGTCTGTGCTACTGGTGTTATGTTCAGGAAGTGGTCTCCTGTACCAATTTGTTCAAGGGTGTCTCCCACTTTCTCTTCTAAGAGGTTCCATGTGGCTGGATTTACGTTGAGGTCTTTGATCCATTTGGACTTAAGTTTTGTGCATGGTGATAAATAAGGATCCATCTATAATCTTTTACATGTCAGCATCCAGTTATGCCAGTACCATTTGTTGAAGATGCTTTCTTTTTTCCATTGTGTAGTTTTAGCTTTTTTGTCAAAAATCAGGTGTTCATAGGTGTGTGAACTAATATCAGGCTCTTTGATTTGATTCCATTGGCCTGCCTGTCTGTTTTTGTGCCAATACCAAGCTGTTTTCAGGACTATAGCTCTATAGTAGAGCTTGAAGTCAGGGATGATGATGTCTCTGAAAGTTCCTTTTTTGTTCAGGGTTGTTTTAGCTATCCTGGGGTTTTTGTTTTTCTATACAAAGTTGAGTTTTGCTTTCTTTCTTTCTTTCTTTCTTTCTTCCTTTTTTCCTTCATAATAGCACTTTATTTTTTTGAAGCTGAATTTTTTAAAATTATTTTTTCTTATTTTACATATCAATGGGAGGGAGAGGGAACTGAGTTTTGTTCTTTCAAGGTCTGAGAAGAATTGTGCTGGGATTTTGATGGGGATTATATTGAATGGATAGATTGCTTTTGGTAAGATTGCCATTTTTAATAAGAAAATGGGAACAAGACCAGGCTACAGAAATCCACAGAGACAGCTGACCTAATCAAGGGGGAGCTAATGGACCCCCAGACTGATAGCTGGGAAACCAGCATTGGACTGACTCAGACCCCCTAAACATGGGTCTCAGTTAGAAGTCGTGGGCAGTCTAAGGGACCTCTGGCAGTGTAACCAGGATGTATCCCTGGTTCACAAAAGGACTTTGGGAGCACATTCCCCATGGAGGGATACTCCTATAACCTAGAGGCAGGGTTAGATTTAGCTGACCCCTCCTGGAAGGCATCTCTCTACTTGTGGAGTGGAGGGGGATGAGAGGGGAAGGTGGTGGTGGTGGATGGGAAGGAGGGAGGGAAGGAGAGGAGAAACTGGGATCCATATGTAAAATAAAAATGAAAAAAACCAAAAAAAAAAAAAAAAAAAAAAAGAAAAGGAAAAAAAAATTGCCATTTTTACTGTGTTGATCCTACCTATCCAAAAGCATGGGAGATCTGTCCACTTTCTGACATTTTCTTTAATTTCTTTCTTTAAAGACTTAAAGTTTTTGTCAAACAGGTCTTTCACTTGTTTGATTAGAGTTATCACAAGATATTTTTTATGTTATTTGTGGGTATTATGAAGGGTGATGTTTCTCTGAATTCTTGGCCCATTTATCATCTGTACATAGGAGGGCAACTGAATTTTTTTTGAGTTAATCTTGTATCCTGCCACTTTACTGAAGGTGCTTATCAGCTGTAGGAGTACCCTGGTAGAATTTTTTTTGGTCAGTTATGTAAACTATCACATCATCTGCAAATAGTGAAAGTTTAACTTCTTCCTTTCCAATTTGTATTCACTAGATCTCCTTTTGTTGTTTTATTGCTTTAGCTAGAACTTCAAGTACAATATTGAATAGATATGAAGAGAGTGGACAGCCTTGCTTTATTCCCAAAACACTGGGTTTCTCTGCATTTAGTTTGATGTTGGCTGTTGGCTTGCTGTACTATTGCTTTTATTATGTTTAGGTATGTTCCTTTTATCCCCTGATCTCTCCAATACCTTTAACATGAAGGGGTGTTGGATTTTGTCAAAGGCTTTCCCACAATCTAGTGAGATAATCATGTGATTTTTCTTTTTCAGTTTGTTTATACGGTAGATTACATTGACAGATTTTCCTATGTTGAAACATCCTTGCAACTCTGGGATAAAGCCTACTTGATCATAGTGGACAGTTTTTCTTATGTGTTTTTGGACTCAATTTGCCAATATGTTGGGGGTTATTCCAGTTTTGTTGTATCTGTTGAAGTTGATTTTAGAGAAGGTTCCATGTGGGGCTGAGAAGAAGGTATATTCTTTTGTGTTTGGATGGAATGTTCTATAGATGTCTATTAAAACCAATTGGACCACAACTTCTGTTAATTCCTTTATGTCTTTGTTAAGTTTTTGTCTGGTAGTTCTGTCCAGTGGTAAGAATGGAGTGTTGAAGTCTCCCACTATATGTGCGTGGGGTTTTTATGTGTGATTTGTTTTAGTAATGTTTCTTTTAAGAATGTGTGTTCCTTTGTATTTGGGGTGTAGATGTTCTTCAGAACAGAGATTTCATATTGATGGATATTTACTGTGACAAATTCCTTTTGATTGATTTTGGTTTGAAGTCTAATTTGTTAGATATTAGGATAACCATACCTGCTTGTTTCTTAGTTCCATTTGATTGGAAAGTCTTTTCCCAACCCTTTACTCTGAGATAACATCTGTCTTTGAAGTTGAGGTGTTCCTTGTATGCAGCAAAAGGATGAATTCTGTCTTCCTAACCATTCTTTTAGCCTGTGTCTTTTTATAGGCTAATTAAGACCATTGATATTAGATATTAATGCCCATTGATAGTTGATTTCTGTTATTTTTGGATTTGTTGTTTGCCCAACCCCCCTTTTTTGCTGTTGGTAATGTAGGATTATCTATTGCCTGTGTTTTTGTTAGTGTAGCTAACTTCCTTTGGTTGGAGTTTCCTTCCAGTTCATTCTGTGGGGCTGGATTTGTGATATGTATTGTTTAAATATGGTTTTGTCATGGAATATCTTGTTTTCTCTACCTGTAGTGACTGAGAGTTTTGCTGGGCATAGTAGCCTGGACTGGCATCCATGGTCTGGTAGTGTTTGCAGAACATCTATCCAGGACCTTCTGGCTTTCAGAGTTTCCATTGAGAAGTCAGGTATAATTCTGATAGGTCTGGCTTTATATGTTACTTGGTCTTTTTCCTTTACTGCTCTTAATATTCTTTCATTATTCTGTATGTTTGGTGTTTTGATTATTATGTGGCCAGGGACCTTTTTTCTTGTTCAGTCTATTTGGTGTTCTGTACTTTCATAGGCATGTCCTTCTTTAGGTTGGTGAAGTTTTCTTCTATAATTTTGTTGAATATGTTTTCTGCACCTTTGAGCTCAACTTTTCACCTTCTATACCTATTATTATTCTATACCTATTATTTCACGGTGTTCCACATTTCTTGGATGTCTTGTGTTAAGGGTTTGTTGGATTTAAGATTTTCTTTGGTCAATGAAATCTATTTCCTCTAGTTTACCTTCAGTACTTGAGATTCTCTCTTCCATCTCATGTATTCAGTTGGTTATGCTTGCATCTATAGTTCCTGATCATTTACCCACCTTTTCTATTTCCAGCATTCCCTCAATTTGTTTTCTTTATTGCCTCTATTTGTCTTCAAGTCTTGAACTGTTTCCTTCACCTGTTCGATTGTGTTTTCTTGGCTTTTCTTGCTTTCTTTAAGAGATTTGTGGATTTCTTGAACTTTTTTGGCTTGTCTTTTCCTCCATATCTTCCAATTTTTTGTTTGTTTTTTCTTCCATTTCTTTAAGGGAGTTTCTCATTTCCTCTTTAAGGGCCTCTATCATCTTCATAAAGTTATTTTTAATGTTGTTTTCTTTTGCTTCATCTGTGTTGCTGGTGTAGAATCCCTAGACTCTGGTGGTTTTATATTACTCTTTGTGTTGTTGAATATATCTCATACTGTTGTCTACCCATCTCTTCCTCCAGTGGGTGCAGGTGGAGCTAGTGATTCAGGGTGTCTCTTTCTCCAATTGTTGTAGGTGGAGCCTTGGCTTAGGTGGTTGATCTTCCTCGCCCAGTGGGGGGCAAGGCCACGGCTCCAATGGTGGGCAATGCAGTGCTTCATGGTTTGGGGAAGGGGAGGGTACCCCAGGTCTCTGGGCGTTCTCTCTGTGTAGGGGTGGGGTCAAGGCTCCAATGATGGCAGATGCAGTGCTGGATGGTTTGGGACTGTCCCCAGGGGGAGGGGGATTCAGTGGGCTGGAGAGATGGCTCATCCATTAAAGGCTAGGCTCACAACCAAAACTTATATTTTCAATGAAAATAAAAAGAAGCAATTAAGCTTCAGGTGGTAAAGATGCATGGGTGGGCAAGGGAGAAGTTACATAAAAAAGAAGCTATTAAGCTGCAGGTGGTAAAGATGCATGGATGGGCAAGGGAGAAGTTACAAGGAAGAGTTAGGGAAGAATGTCATCAAAATACATTACATGTACTTTTCATAGAATTAATAAAATATTTTTAAAATTACAAAAGTTATAACCTAAGTCAAGCTGATTTGAACTAACATGCATTCTACAATCCTCTATCTTTCCTTAGAAATCCAAAAAAATAACATATCATATCAGAATACAGTGATTTCATGTTGATTATTAATTATTAGTCAAGTAAATATTCCAAAGTATAGATATGCCATTATGCTTTAACAACAAAAATTGTCTTCTTGGGGTAATGATATTCTTGCTTATATGATTTGACACTCTACTTTGTTTCTTTTAGATTTACAGCAATTATCCCTCTGATGGGCTTCTCCATCCATCTCCAACATCTAAATATTAATGTCATCCTACTGCGATGTGTCTCTGGAACAGTGTCCATCCCAGCTTCTGTTGCTGGAAGCTTTTTACTGAACCACATTGGCTGTAGGATATATCAACTATTTCTCAGTTTCCTGTTTGGAATCTCCATGCTTGTTATAGTGTTTGTCCCACAAGGTGAATAAAGAGCTTAGAGTGAGATAGAAAAAAAAAAAAAAAGATCCTGTACCTTTCCTCAATGTTTATTCAGATCCTACTTATGAGAAATAAATATATATCCCGAGAATATAACCAGACATTTAGGAACATTCATCCACTCACATACTAAGGGAAGAGTGAAAATCAGTAAAGATGAAAGCCAATGAGTTGTCTCCTAGACTAAAGAAGCTCTCTACTTCTGAAGCAATGTCAGAGATGCCAGGTGTGTGAATACAGTAGACCACAAGTGTTGATTCTCCACAGACCATACATGCAGATAGGTCACCTTTCTTAAATTATTAGTCAGTGAGGACTTATACCTCTCTGTACAGTTTACTCACTCTCTATTCCCACTTGGGAAGTGAAAAGTAAATTCCTTTATCTTGAAATGATCACTGTCATTTTCCTCTCCACAGAAATGCAGACTCTCCGTTTGGTTTTTATGATACTGGCAATCACAAATTCCATGATGTTTTTGAGCAGTAATAACCTGTACACAAATGAACTTCTACCCACAGTGATCAGGTACGTGAGTTGATGTAAGCACCTGGGTACTTATCAACAGTAATCAATTATAATGCTGCAAGTATAGACGTTTATTGGAAGTTTGCTTTTTGTGTGATAGATTAAGTCCAGCTGCGAACCAGCTGTACACACTAATAAATATCTTATGTGAATAATTAGAGACACCCAAAACATAAGTGCTATGAGTAGAACTTCAGTTATTTTAATTTATAATTAGGTTTTTATGAGATTTAACTTTGTTTTAGCAGTTTCATGCAGATACAGACTGTACTGTGGTTGTGTTCACCTTCTATCAATCACTCTTAACTATGACCCATTCCTGCTGAATTCTTTCTTCTCAGCTGGTGCTACATCACATCTTTTTGCACTCTCTCTCTCTCTCTCTCTCTCACACACACACACACACACATCTGTGGGGGGGTACAGACACTTGTGTGTGGGTACATACACCTGCATGTACTTGTGTACCTGCCTGTGTATTGTAAGTAATGGATTTAATAATAACATTTTCACAAACATTTTCACCCCCTTGTTCCCTCTTCTACTAGCTCTTCCTCATGCCAGTAGCCACCTCATCATTTCATATCAATGCACACTACCAATCTCCCCTACCTCTAAATTTTAACATTATAAACTTTATAATAAGAAATATTTGCAAATCAAAAAATATCACACACATTTTTTTGCCATTTTTTATTGTTATTGAGCTAGACAATTTTCCCTACTCCCCTTCTCTCCTCCTCCCTCCACCCACCTCCCCATGCTCCAAATTTAATTCAGGAGATCTCATCTTTTTCCCCCTCATAGATGGATCCACGTATTATGGATGGGTCATCTTTATTATCTAGGTTCTCTGGGGTTGTGGCCTGTAGATTGTTTTTTTTCTTTATGTCTAATATACAGTTTTAAGTGAGTACATATGATATTATATTTTTATTTCTTGGTCTGGGTTACCTCACTCAGGATGGTTTTTTCTAGTTCCATCCATTTGCCTGCAAATTTCAAGATATCATTGTTTATTTTTACCACCGAGTAGTACTCCATTGTGTACATGTAGCACGTTTTCCTTTTTCATTCTTTGGTTGAGGGGCATCTAAGTTGTTTATAGGTTCTGACTACTAAGAATAATGCTGCTATGAACATAGTTGAGCAAGAGTCCTTGAGGTGTGAGTGTGCATCCTTTGGGTATATTCCCCAGAGTGATATTGCTGGGTCTTGAGGTAGATTGATTCCCAATATTCTGAGAAACCACCATACTGATTTCCAAAGCAGCTTTGTCACACACTAAAATTAGTTAGACTTAAAATATATATATTTCAATGAATAACTTTTATATTTCCTGTCCATTACAAGAATTCATTCCTTCTGCATTCCCTAACGCTCCACTTTTCTTGTTCTCTTTTCTACTTGTTATACTGTACACACATGTATATTTATTTACAGATACATACACATTATTGACTAGAGTCTAGAAATAAGGGATAACCTGTAGCTTTTTCCGAGCTGTGAGACCTCATTATTATACATCCTAAGTCCATCTATTTTCCTATAAATTATATAATTTCATTCTTCCCAAGAGCAGATTAGTATTCCATTTTTTTGTCTATGTATACAAACCACATTTTCAATATTCAAATCAACTGTTGGTGAATAGCTAGTTTCATCCCAGTTTTTGCTATCATAATTATGCCAACAATAAGCATGGGGTGCAGATATTTCTATAACAGAATATGGAGGTCTCTGGATTCATGTCCAAAAGTACAATTGTTAGGTTCTTTGGTAGTTATACTTTTAATTTTTTTTGAGAAATCTCCAAACCGACTTTCTCAATAGCTATATTAATTTGCATCATACCAACAGTGAATTAGTGATACTCTCTCCACACAGCTTCTTGAATATTTGTTATCAGATTTCTTTTTTAATTAATCATTATTTAAATAAAAAACAACCTTATTTTACATATCAATCCCAGTTTCCTCTCCATTTCATTGTCCCCACCAGCTCCCCACTCTACCCCCATCCACTGCTCAGGGAGGGTGAGGCCTCCCATAAGGGATCATCAAAGTCTGTCACATCATTTGGGACAGGACCTAGGCCCTCCCCCAGGTATCCAGGCTGAGAGAGTATCCCTCCACACGGATGGGCTTCCAAAGCCCATTCATGCACTACGGATAAATACTGGATCCACTACCAGAGGCCCCATAGACTGTCCAAATTCCCCAACTGACACCCACATTCAGGGGGCCTAATTCGTTCTTATGCTGGTTCCCCAGCTGTCAGTCTGGGGTCCTTGAGCTCCCACTTGCTCAGTTCAGCTGTCTCTGTGGGTTTCCCCAGCATGGTCTTGATCCCTTTGCTCATCACCCTTCTCTTTCTATAACTGGATTCCAAGAGTTCTGCTCAGTGCTTAGCTGTGAATCTCTGCTTCTGCTTCCATCAGCTACTAGATGAAGGCTCTATGATGGCATTTAAAGTAGTCATCAGTCTCATTATAGGGGAAGGGCATTTAAGGTAACCTCTCCACTATTGCTTAGATTCTTAGTTGGGGTTATCCATGTGGATCCCTGGAGCTTTCCCTAGTGCCAGATTTCTCGTTAAGCCCATAATGGCTCTCTCTATTATGGTATCTCTTTCCTTGCTTTCTGTCAGATTTCTTGATGATAGCCATTTTGACTAAGGTGAGGTAAAATCTCAAAGTAGATTAAATTTGTTTTACCTCAACTTCTAGGGATATTGAACATTTCTTAAAAGAGCATCAGCCATTTGTGTTTCTGTCTTTGATTTTTTTCAGAAACTATCTATTTGATTTATTTGCTCATTTGTTGATGAACTGTTTTATTTATTCGGTGTTTAGTTTCTGCAATTTGAAAATTCTGGATAGAAAACCTTTGGCGTGTAGCTAGTAAAGCTTTCTTCAAAGCTATTTCTTCTCCCAATCATTTGCTTTGCTGTGCAATACCTTTTTCTTTTCATGTAGTTCCATCTCTTGATACCTGAGATTTGTCTGTGTACCATTGTGTCACACAGAATCTACTTGGTGTTCTATTTGGAAAGTTTGGCCAATCTAATATCTTAAATGGTAACCCTAAAGTTTTTCTAGACATTTCATCACTTTAGGTATTAAGCCTAAGGTGTTAAGAGAAAGAGACTTTGAATTGAGTGTTGCACCAAATGAAACATATTCCTAGATACTTCTTGGGGCGGTAATTTGAATGGGATATTTTACCTAATTTCTTTTCCGTAGAGTAAACTGATGATACAAATGAAGGCTACTGCTTTTTTTCCCCCAAATAATGATTTAATAAGTATTTAGTAGGTCCAAGAGTTTTCTAGTAAAGTCAATAAAATCTTTTAAGTAAAGAATCAGTCAACCGCAAATAGGGACAGTTTGACTTCTTCCCTTCCTGCTGTCATCTTTTTTGTGTGCTTCTCTTGATCTGTCTAATTGCTGTAGCTAAAACATCAAGCTCTATATCAAGTAAGAGAAGAAAGAGTATGCAATGTTGTATCCTTCCTGATTTTAGAAGTATTACTCCCAGTTTTTCCATTTAATTATTGTATACAGCCTTTATTTTACTTTTTTATAATTTTTATTTAAGTTAGAAACAATCTTACTTTACATATCAGTCTCAGTTCCCTCTCCCTCCCACTCTCCCATGCCCTCCATCCACTCCCCATTCCACTCCCCATCCACTCCCCAGGGAGAGTGAGGCCCTCCATGGGGGATCATCAAATCATATCATTTGGGGGAGAGCCTAAGCCCTTCGCCATGTATCTAGGGTGAGAAGATATTCCTTCATGGGGGAATGGTCTCCCAAAGTCCATTCGTTCAGTAGGGATAAATACTGGTTCCAGCGCTCAAGGCCCCATAGACTGCCCAGGACCTCTAACTGACTGGTTCAGTCCTATGTTGGTTCCCTAGCTGTCAGTCTGGGGTCCATGAGTGCCCACTTGCTCAGGTCAGGTGTTTCTGTGGGTTTCCCCAACATGGTCTTGACCCCTTTTCTCATTACTCCTCCCACTCTACAACTGGATTCTAGGAGTTCTGCTCAGTGTTTAGCTGTGGGTGTTGCTTCTGCTTGCATTAGCTATTGGATGAAAGTTCTAGGATGACATTTAAGGTAGTCATCAATCTCAATATAGAGGAAGGACATTTAAGGTGACCTCTTCATTACTGCTTATATTGTTAGTTGGGGTCATCCTTGTGGATCTCTGGACATTTCCCTAGTGCCAGATCTCTCTTTAAACCTACAATGACTCCCTCTATTAAGGAATCTCTTTTCTTGCTCTCCTCTATTTTCCCCCTTATATTCTCCTCTCCCCTCCTGTTCTCCCCTTCTCTTTCTCCTAACTCTCTCTCCCCTCCCCCATGCTCCCAATTTGCTCAGGAGATCTTGTCCCTTTCCCCTTCTCTGGGGGACCATGTATGTCCCTCTTAGGGTCCTCCTTGTTTCCTAGTTTCTCTGTTGGTATGAATTGTAGGCTGGTGACCCTTTGCTCTATGTCTGAAATCCATATATGAGTGAGTACATACCATGTTTGTCTTTTTGTGACTGGGTTACCTCATTCACGATGGTTTCTTCTAGTTCCATCAATTTGCCTTCGAATTTCAAGATTCCTTTTTTTTTTTCTGCTGAGAGTACTCCATTGTGTAAATGTACCACATTTTCTCCATCCATTCTTCAGTTAAGGAATGTCTAGGTTGCTTCCAAGTTCTGGCTATTACAAATAATGCTGCTATGAACATAGTTGAACAGATGTCTTTGTTGAATGAATGTGCATCTTTTGGGTATATGCCTAAGAGTGGAATTGCTGGATCTTGTGGTAGACTGATTCCCATTTTCCCCGAGGAGCTGCCATACAGATCTCCAAAGTGGCTGTACAAGTTTGCACTCCTACCAGCAATGGTGGAGTGTTACCCTTTCTCCACATACTCTCCAGCATAAACTGTTATTGGTGTTTTTTTATTTTAGCCATTCTGACAGGAGTAAGATGTTGTCTCAGAGTTGTTTTGATTTGCATTTCCCTGATTGCTAAGGATATTGAACACTTTCTCAAGTGTCTTTCAGCCATTTTAGATTCCTCTATTGAGAATTCTCTATTTAGTTCTGTACCCCACTTTTTAATTGGATTATTTGGTGTTTTGGTGACTAGCTTCTTGAGTTCTTTGTATATTTTGGAGATCAGCCCCCTGACAGATGTGGGGTAGGTGAAGATCTTTTCCCATTCTGTGGGCTGCCGTTTTGTTTTGTTGACTTTGCCCTTTGCCTTACAGAAGCTTCTCAGTTTCAGGAGGTCCCATTTATTAATTGTTGATCTCAGTGTCTGTGCTATTGGTGCTATGTTCAGGAAGTGGTATCAATTCCTTGAATGGTACCTTCTACTTTCTCTTCTAAGAGGTTCAGTGTGGCTGGGTTTATGTTGAGGTCTTTGATCCATTTGGACTTAAGTTTTGTGCATGGTGATAGATATGGATCTATCTGCAGTTTTCTACACACCAGCACAGCTATGCCAGCACCATTTGTTGACGATGCTTTCTTTTTTCCATTGTATGAATTTAGCTTCTTTGTAAAAAAAAAAAAAAAATCAGGTATTCATAGGTATGTGGGTTAATATCAGGGTTTTTAATTCAGTTCCACTGGTCTACCTGTCTATTTTTGTGCCAATACCAGACTGTTATCAGGACTATAGCTGGAAACAGGCCCATGCTTGCCCCTCCTGTGATTGGAGGGGTGGGATCAGATTGCTGGCAGCCTCAGAATGGGCCGGGCTGCTACAGTGGACTCCCCTGCACGCAGACCTCAGGCCTCAACCTGTGTCTTTATAGGCAATTTGAGACCATTAATATTGAGAGAAATTAAGGACCATTGGTTGTTAATTCTTGTTTGTTTTGAATTTGGTGGTGGTGGTGGTGGTATTGTGAGTAGATTTACCTCGATTTTTCTTTTGGCTTCTGGTAAAGCGGGATTATCTATTGCCTATGCTTTTGTGAGTGTAGGTAACTTCCTTGGGTTGGAGTTTTCCTTCCAGAACTTTCTGTAGGGCTGGATTTGTGGATATGTATTGTTTAAATATGGTTTTGTCATGGAATATCTTGTTTTCTCCATTTATAGTGATTGAGAGTTTTGCTGGGTATAGTAGTCTGGGCTGGCATCCATGGTCTCTTAGTGTTTGTAGAACATCTATCCAGAACCTTCTGGCTTTCAGTGTTTCCATAGAGAAGTTGGGTATAATTCTGATAGTCTGCCTTTCAATGTTACCTGGCCTTTTTCCTTCACTGTTCTTAATTTTCTTTCTTTATTAAGTATGCTTTGTGTTTTGACTATTATGCTGCGAGGGCTTTTTTTTTTTTTTTTTGGTCCAGTCTATTTGGTGTTCAGTATGCTTCTTGTACTTTCATGGGCATGTCCTTCTTCAGATTGGGAAAGTTTTCTTCTATTATTTTGTTGAATGTTTTCTGCACCTTTGAGCTGGACTTCTTCACCTTCTTCTATGCCTATTATTCATAAGTTTGGCCTTTTCACAGTGTCCCACATTTCCTGTATGTTTTGTGTTAACGATTTGTTGGATTTAAGATTTCCTCTAGTTTATCTTCAGCACCTGAGATTCTCTCTTCCATCTCTTGCATTCTGTTGGTTATGATTGCATCTGTAGTTCCTGATCATTTACTCAGCTTTTCTATTTCCAGCATTTCCTCAGTTTGTGTTTTCTTTATTGTCTCTATTTCAGTTTTCAGGTCTTTAATTGTTTGAATTTTTTCCTTCATCTGTTTTATTGTTTTTTTTCTTGGCTTCCCTTGCTTTCTTTAAGAGATTTGTTGATTTCTTGAAATTTTTTTGGTTCGTCTTTCTCTCTATTTTTTTCAGTTTTGTTTTTGTTTGTTTGTTTGATTTTTCTTCTATTTCTATAAGGGATTTTCTCATATCCTCTTTGAGGGCCCATATCATTTTCATGAAGTTGTTTTTAAGGTAATTCTTTTCTGCTTCATTTGCATTGGTGTGTTCAGGTCTTGTTGGTGCAGAGTTCCTAGATTCTGGAGGTGTCATATTGGTTTTTCTACTGTTAAATGTGTTCTTATACTGCCATCTTCCCATTCCTTCTTCTGGAGGGTGAAAGTGGGGTCTCTCTCTCTACTCTCCTCTCCCAGTGTTGGTGGGTATAGGTGGGTCAGGACTTCGATGTCAATAACTCTGGATGGTCAGAGCTATCTTGGAGGTCTCAAGCAGAGGGCATAGGACGTTCAAGATTGAGGTGAGGGCAGGCTCTGGATGATCCTGTGTGGCATGGAAAGTCCATTACGCACAGAGCCTACCCAGGAAGTTCCAAGGAGAGAGTGGGAGGTGTTGGACCTGAGCTGGCCAAACAACCACCTCAAGCAGAGGGCGTAGGAGAGCCAGGGAGACTTTTGGCCATTTCAGATTCCTCTCTTGGGAATTCTCTACTAGATCTGTACCTCATTTTTAAATTGGATTATTTGGTATTTTGATGTCTATTTTCCTGAGTTCTTTGTATATTTTGGAAAGCAGCACTCTGAAAGATGTGGGATTGGTGAAGATCTTTTCCCATTCTTAATGCTGTTGTTTTGTCTTGTTTGACAGTGTCCTTTGCCTTACAGAAACTTCCCCATTTCTGGTGATTCTATTTATTAATTGTTGATCTCAGTGTCTGTGCTACTGGAGGCCTGGACATGAAGTCATGTATAGCCCTACAGAAACAAATAATCTCTTCTTTTTAGGACTTTTTCTTGCCTCTTTCATGTTGACCTTCCTAGTTTCATACCCTATACCCATAACACTGACACACGAACACACACACAAGAGAGAGACTTCCACAAATGCTAAAATCTAAGAACTACACACAAGAGAAAATGTGGCATTTACCTTTCTGAGTATGGGTTATATTATAGGTGGCTTTATACTTTGACCTTGTCAAAAACTACTATCAAATAAAACAGAAATTTCCAAAGCAAAGTAAGTTACCAACATCCGTGAGTTAAAATGTACTGCACTTTGACTCTCACGATTAATGCAAGATGCTAAATCACAAGTGCAATGAGCTCAAGTTTGCACAATATTTTTATGAATTATGTTTTATGCTTCAAGGGCAAGAGCAATGGGAGTAATTGGACTTTTTACTAATATGGGAGCATCCCTGTCTCCTCTTTTAATGATCCTCACCATGTACTCTACCAACTTACCCTGGATCATCTATGGAGTACTCTCCATCATTGGTGGCCTTATTTTTCTTCTCCTTCCTGAGACCAAGAATAAGCCTCTGCCTGACTCCATCCAAGATGTGGAAAATGAGTGAGTAACACATCTATCTCTTGCTTAGAGGGGACATGTATGTCAATGGTCTATAATATAGAATGTAAAATATGATTCAGACCATATCTCTTAAGCAGTCAGACATTTAGGCATTTTCCCATTTGGTCATTGCATTTGGCATATGAGTCTTACCTATATCCCTTTATAAAGGAGATTCAAATGAGCTTGGATTTCTCTAGACACAAAGACCAGCCCTACTAGGATATACTAGAGTTTTTGGTAAGTAGGCAAAATTATGTATTCTGTCCAATATGTTCTTGTTATAAGACATATGAAGTGTATGCGTTAATGTGTTACATGTATGATGTATGTACTTATGCAGAGGCCAGATAAGGGCCTCTTATATTCTCAGTTTTGTTTCATTTTGAGATTTCTGTCAATTAGCCAGGGCCTGGGATGGAGGCCAACAAGTGCCACTGAGATTCCTGACTCTTCTTCCCACAGTACTAGGGTTAGAAGCATGTGTGCCCATGCCTACCTTTTATACGAGTCCTAGATATTGAACTCAGGACCTCCTTCTTTGGCAGGAAACAGTCTCCATTGAGGATTTGCTTTAACCCATGAAACAGATATTCTTGTATATATTTCACAACCATGCACAAATGCAAATGGAATTTCACACTTCAAACTCAGTTACCAACAGTCCAATGAGTACTGAGGCTTGGGAGTCTGCTATGATCACTGAACAGCTTAGAGACAATCCCATACAAGCCTAGATAACCAGACACAGACGACAGTGCAACCGAGGGAAGGACTCTTTGTTATTAGACTCAGAACATCTCAGTTTTGCAAAGGATGAAACATTCACATAGAAAAGATGACATAGTCCAGGCTGAACATGTAACCACAGACAGGAAACAGGAGAGCTAGTCTGGAACCTTCTATGAGCTGTTTAAAGGCCCACCTTTGGCAACTATGTCCAATTGTTGGGCATCAACTCCCAAAGGTTCCACAGACACTGCCCCCCAACACCACTATGAGCAGGGGACTCAGTGTTCAAACACACAGCCCTGTGAGGGGCACGTCACACTCTCGCTGTAACAATTACTGTGTGAAAAACAAATATTCAAGTCTGAGAAGACTGGTAGATATTTAGTTAACCCTTTTATATATTAACTGAACTTTTTGTCTGTTTGTTCATGTAATTACTGAGAGAGAAGTAGTCACAGTGTCTAAAAAAAAAAGAAAGAAAGAGAGAGAAAAAGAAAGGAAGAGAGAGAGAGAGAGGAAGAAAGAAAGAAAAGGAAGAAAGAAAGAAAGAAAGAAAGAAAGAAAGAAAGAAAGAAAAAATGGCATAGTCAATAATGAGGTCATGGAGCAGAAAAGAATGGGGAGGATATTTAAATTGTTATGTATTTCCATGTTACTTTACCTTCAAACCTCCTTGGAGAATGCTATGACCACCAAAATAGTAAGCATCAAAGCAGATTCACAGAGTCACTAGAGAGAAGTTGGTTCTTAGATCCTCAGATTTGCTCAAATCCTTTAGTAGGAATCTTGGATTTTATAAAAGCTGATAGGTGAAGGATGAGTTTGCTCTTATTAATTCAGGTGATACTTTTATTCTCTGTGCCCTTTCAGGTTCATTTACATGTTACTGGTGTTTGTTGTGTTCTAGGTTGAAAGTTTCAAGACAAACAAAAGAGGAAGGCACTATCATCAAAGTGACAAAGTTTTAAAGAACTCCAGGAATTGGCCCATGATCAAATAAATAACAGGATAAAGAAACATGTCACACAAAATGTCATGTTCCAGGATAATTTTGCCTTTGCCACAGTACCTTCCGTGTCCACTGAAGTAAACAGAGACAAAAGAAGTCCTGACAATCATTCCTGATCTGTCCATGGGTACAGACAACAGATGCCAGAAGGAAATGTAGGGCTTTGATTTTGTCAGAAAACTGAGGATATAGTCGGGCTTTCCTGTTATAGGGATCTGAATTAGAAAAGGGGACACAGGCATGAAAAGGGTAGCACCCCTAAGTCTATGCCTGCCCCACTCCCAAGAGGGTACAGGGCCTCTCACAATAGAAAGACAGAGGCCAACATTGACTGTGAGTATAGTGGACACTCACACAAGACCAAGAGTGGCCAAGGAAGTGTGGATGCCGTAGGGATGTCTCCATCAGAAGGGTTGCGGTGGTTACATAGGAAGATGAAAAGGAAATAAGAGGTATAGATCCTTGGTTGGGAGACCTTTAATGACTGCTTTTACTTCCTAGGGGATTACAGGTCTGTTTAAATTGTTTACCTGATCATGGTTTAATTTTGGTATGTGGTATCAAGAAAATAAGTCCATTTCTTTTAGATTTTCCAAATGTGTGTAAAGGTTTCGTATGACCTCATAATTATCTGGATTTCCTCAGTGTCTAATGTTATTTCCCCCCCTTTCCTTTCTGATTTTGTGAATTTAGACATTCTCTCTACCCTTTAGTTAGTTTGGGTAAGGGTTTGTCTGTCTTGTTGATTTTCTCAGAGAGCCAACTCTTTATTATTGATCCTTTGTATGTTTCTCTTTGTTGCTACTTTATTGATTTCAACCCCAGTTTGATTATTTCCTGCTATCTAAACCTCTTGGGTGTCTTTGTTTCTGTTTGTTCTAGAGATTTCAGGTGTGCTGTTAAGTCGTTAGTATTGATGTTTAATAAGTATCAGGAGAAACAAATAGGCTGAATAGATGTTTATTCAGGGAGAAATAACTCACAACATAGACAGATGAACATCAGCAGGTTCCTGGTCCCAAAGATGCCTCCGGAAGTGCTCCTGTCACAGTGCTGCAAGCAATCCTAGCTCCTCCTCAGACCTAGTTCCACTTCCGCCCCTGGCTCCACCCCCAATGGGAGTGGTCAGTGCCACAAAAGGAGACAAAGTAAATATCTCAGTACACATTAGTATGAAATTTCTCCAAATTCTTTATGAAGGCACTAGGTGCTATGAACGTTCCTTTCATAGTTCCCAAGTTTTGGGGACAAGTGAGAATCCAAGTGAGAGCAGGTGACCCTGGGGGTGATCTGGGGGTGGTTTTGTGTGGATGGAAACTTCCTATCCCAGAATGGAAAGGGGGAAATAGGTATTTTGCAGACAAAAAGATAAAACAAACCAAAGGAACAGTGAGCATAAACAATGGGCATACAGAGAGTGCTACCAAGCAGTGAAATCTAAGAAACTTGGTCAAAGGCCAATGATCATTCTCTCTTTAAATCACACTGCACAGTCAGCCAAACATCCCTCTCAAGAAACAGACAAAAAAAAAAAAAAAAAAAAAAAAAAAGCCCCACTAGCAAAGTCAAGAAAATCAATTAAATATCCTCCTTGGTAATTTACAAAGTTGCCTGGCTATTTGTTCAAACAAAACTGAAGCTGGATCTCTCTTGAGAGCAGAACTACAAAATCACATCTCTCTGTATGCCTGTCCCAATTAAGCACTGGGGGACTGCTGGAGACATATTCACATATTCTTCCCAGTCTAGAAGAGGCCTCCCCCAGAAAGGCTTACCTGTCAGATCCAGAAGAAGGCTCCCCATAGGGCTGGTCTTCCTCAACCACTCACTAGGAATGTTACAAGGACTCTGTTTTGTTGTATGGGAACACTGAAGTTGTTCCAGACTGCTCTAGACTTACTGAGAGGAGCAGAAGACTACAAGGTTTGTCAGGGATACTTCCACTGAAACCCTCTCTCTAGAAAGAAAGGCTGAGTTCCTAAAGGCATGGGGATCTTGCTGGTGTCCTCCAAATAAAATGACCTAAGGGAGATCGTAACAGATAACCACAGTAATTAAGTTCAGTCAAAGAATTTTTATATCCCCTGGTGCCAAAGCTGTAGGGTATGCCATTTTTGAATATATGTATGTTCTCAGTTTCTGACCCCCTAGGGAAAGACTATAGACTCATTCCAACTATAATCAAATAATGTATTGATTACTACTAGCAGGACAAAAATCTCTGAGCCAAACTTGAGATTGCTGTGAGCATGGGGCTGAGGAAAGGATTTTAAAGGCAAAAACCTCAAGAAGACCTCAAGTATCTGAGCCAGAAAAGCAAGAGGTGTTTTGATCTTTCAAGGTTACAAAGTTAAGGTGAAATGAAGGTCTGAAAAGCAGGTTACAGAAGCCAAGAAAGCATTTAGTCATAACAACAACTAGGTGGTTACAGCTGTACATTTTTTTTGGGGGGTGCATAAAGTCAGGGTTACTGGGAACATATCTTCCAGGGACTGGAGTCTGAAACAAATGGCTAATGGGTAACAAGCTATCATAAACGGAAGGATTTTGTTGTGTTGTGGTGTCAATACCAGGAGCTAGCACCACCAAGATGTTTCAAGGGAAACATTTACCTATGGCGGAGGCAAATTCTCAGTTTTCCATGGTAGCAACATAAAAATGACAATCAACTAAAGTTGAGGAACCACTTTATAGTAAGCAAGCATGTGATTAAAAAGAGAATTTTGCAGTAATTGTTATGATCATTGGAAAGGTACACATTATAGGCTGGTGGTCAGACAGTTAACATACCACGAAAGATTTTATGACAAGTTGATTCTCAAGACAATGGAAACGATTTGTAATGTGCAATTCACAATACCATTGATGAATAACAAATCAAGAAGTTGAGCATCAGTTTAGTCTGTGGCTTCTGGGATGATGACAGCAGACACTGTAGGGAATAATGCAGAGTTAAACTATAAAGAAAAAAACAGAGTCAGCTGTTCTGCAACATGCCTCTCTCCTGTTACAAAGTTCTGTAAATCATTAGAGATCTTCTCTGATAGAAATAGGTCACAGGTGTTCATAATGTCTCCTCAGAACCATTAGTTTCAGATTTTATAATGATTTACAGATTTTATAATGCATTCAGAACAAATGGCCCACAAGTGAGAGTGAGTAAAGTAAGTAATTAGGAACCTACCAAGGCGCTAAGTGAGATACTTAACCATAAGGACCAGAAGAATAGGGACTCATACCAATTTTGACTATTTGAATGCAATTGTTCTTTTTCCTTAAATTTTTGTTTAACTAGATTCAAACTTCCTCTGACTATTCCCAAGTTATTGACATAAAAATAACATGTTCTCTGAGAGCCAGGAAGAGTGAACATCTGTTCTGTAGTATAACCACTGTCAGGGAGTCTAGAGAGGACGTCAGGTAGCTGACAGGTGTTTTCAGTTCAGGTAGATCTTGAGCAATCCATTGACTCAGGTGCTTAAAGTTTTGACTATCAGTGACAAGCCCAGCAATTCCCAGTTCTACTGAGTCTGTTATCCTCAACGCTATTACTAGGGGCATCAGCAACTCCAGTGAAAAAGTTCTAAAGGTACCCTGCCTCCTCCTCCTGAATAGTAATACACTTGAGGATTCAAATGAACTTGAATGCAGAAGTTACATGTCTTGGTAAGAATGAAGGAATCTAATAACAACCAAAGTAAATTTAAAATCTTGAGCTTGTGACTGATAATAGCAATCAGTGCTCTACTAGCTTACCAGAACTCCACTGATCAACACTAAAACTGAACTTCCGAGGTCTTAAGACAATAATAGCATAGAGAAAATAAGAAATCTGAAACAGTGTTGAATTTTGTCAAAGGCATTTTCAGCATCTAGGGAGATGATCATGTAGTTTTTCTTTTTCTGTTTGTTTATATGGCAGATCACATTGATAGATTTTCATATGTTAAACCATCCCTGCAATCCAGGGATGAAGCCTACTTGATCATGGTGTATGATTTCTCTGATATATTCTTGGATTCAGTTTGCCAGTATTTTTGCATCAATGTTCATGAGGGATATTTGTCTGTAATTTTCTCTTAGTTGTGTTTTTGTGTAGCTTGGGTACCAAGCCTCATAAAAAGAGTTTGGCAATGAACCTTCTGTTTCTATTGTGTGGTATTAGCTCTTCCTTGAATTTCTGGTAGAATTCTTCACTGAAGCCATCTGGCCCTGGGCTTTTTTTTTTTTTTTTTTTTGGTTGGAAGGCTTTCGATGACTGCTACTATTTCATTGCGGGTTATAGGTCTATTTGTCTGTTCTTGATTTAATTTTGGTAAGTGATAGTTATCCAGAAATTTGTTCATCTTTGAATTTTCAAATTTTGTGGAGTACAGGTTTTCAAAGTATGACCTGAAAATTGTCTGGATTTCCTCTGTGTTCATTGTTATGTCCCCCTTTTCCTTTCTGATTTTGTTAATTTGCATGTTCTCTCTCTGCTTTTTCATTAGTTTTGGATAAAGGTTTGTCTATCTTGTTGATTTTCTCAAAAAACCAACTCTGTCTCATTGATTGTTTTTGTATTGTTTTCCTGGTTTCTACTTTATTGATTTCAGCCCTCAAATTGACTATTTCCTGGCATCTACTCCTCCAGGGTGAGTTTGCTTCTTTTTGTTCTAGAGTTTTCAGTTGTGCTGTTAATTCTCTAAGTGATTGTCCTCCATTTTCTTCATATGGGCACTTAGTGCAATGAACTTCCCTCATAGCAGTGCTTTTAAGGTGTCCCATAAGTTCGGGTATGTTGTGTCTTCATTCTCATTTAATTCTAGGAAGTCTTTAATTTCTTTATTTCTTCTTTGACCCAGGTATGGTGCAATTGCGCATTGTTCAGTTTCCATGAGTTTGTAGGATTTCTGCGATTTATGTTGTTGTCGAATTCCAATTTTAAAGCATGGTGGTCTGATAAGATACAGGGGGTTATTCCAATTTTTTTGTATCTATTGAGGTTTGTTATGTTACCTAGTATGTGGTCAATTTTAGAGAAGGTTCCATGTGGAGCAGAGAAGAAGGAATATTCTTTTGTGTTTG